ATTTGAAATTGTTGCTCTACGGTTTCTAGCAGCTCATCGAACATCAGTCTAAGGCGGCTGGTCAGCTATTTTCCTGCTCGAATCACAAACTTTGAAAACATTTGAGTTGTGAAAAATACCGTGGCGTTTAACTATAAAATTAGTTGATTCTACTTACCACTTTAATACCAGGTCATCAACCAATTATAATATCCCCACGTCTGTTGGTCAAGAAGCAAGGATAGACTTGAGCAGTTCCGAGCCCTCTTTGCGATCAGAGTTGAACCATGATACATTTTAAATGATTTCGAGAGACTTTAATAGCATTGGTTCGAATCTTCTAAATTGTTCATAAAGTGATCTTGGCTGCTTGAATTTCCTCAGTTTTCATGAAACACAAGCGATCCGCAATCTTTCAGTGGAACAGTAACAGTGTTCAACGATGTCGTTAAAATTTTTCAAAAATAATGTTGGCCGTATTTGCGCACGGGAACAGGGGTCTTTTTTGCATGAGCATGCGCGACCGCTGAACAAGCGATGTGCATGGAGGCTCACCACAGGGTTTGCCTTCATCAAAATGGCGCGTCTCAAAGCTATTATAGTGATTATTTTGCTCGTTGGTCTTGGCGAATGTGCTCGTGATTTAACAAAATGTGTAGTTTGCAAAAAAAACTCTAACATGGTCTTAACAAAAGCGAAGTAGACCGGCTTTAACATACACGAGCTACTATCAAATTTCATCTCCCCACTTGACCTGGACGACAGCGCGCGTATATGTAGTGCCTGGAGGATTGCGCTGGCCTCATCAAAGTCTAAACAAAGTGCAGAAACGTTTGTTGATGCAAGTAAACACTTTCAAATTTTCTTTGTTTTGAAATCGGAAAGGAAGAGAAATATTAAAAAAAAACATAGCAAATTTCAGCGCGAAAGCCGATGTTCAGTTCAGCAGTGAATTAATATATGTTCTACAATTTTCCCAGCACTTTAAAGTTACAAAATTAAGAGCACACGAGACGTAGATTAGTCACCTGGTGAGATGTTGGTGGTAGTCACTTTGTATGTCTCGAACAATAAAAAAAATTAATATCAATGAGACACAGTCAAAACTGCATTGAATAGGACCGAAATTAAAGTCCAATCTTGTGACCGATTTTGATGAAACAAACGGTTAGGTTTCCCAAGAAGTACAGTAAACATGTGATGCCGACCAAAAGTTAAAAATCATTAGAACATTTAAGGTCTGGCTAAAAGCAAATTACTGTAAAAGATGCGTTACAATGTTAGTCCACGCAAAAACAAGAAGTTCTACAATTTTCCTATAAACAAACTTTGTATCGCTAAAATCCTTAAGGCAGAAACTTTCTATTCCAACTGAAAACGGCGTGGTAGTCGCCCGCTGATCTTTATTAATCCACTCCCGAAATATGGCTAAATCAGCTATTAACAAATAATTGACAGAAATCCTCTACGGCATCGAGAAACTGATTTACATCCGATGTATAGATAAACACTAAATAAAGAACATTTTGTTCAGTAGCAACGCATCAACAATGCATTCTATGCCAAACTTTGCGGTTCTTAAAGGGGAATCACGACACGAGTCGAGCGCCAAACAACTACAAGCAGCCATGTTCGTGTCAGACATCCTTGAGAAACTTGCTCTTTCACCTCGTTTAGCGCATCAGTCTCCACTTTAAATCAACAGATCTTTACTTATTTTGTACAACGAAGGTCTTTCCTAAGTTCCTGCTACTATTTCAATCTCAAGCAAGCTATGCAGCATTGTCGCTGTCATTGGTCGCGTGCTCTTTGACAAGTCAGCGGTCGCGCATGCTCATGCAAAAAAGACCCCTGTTCGGAAAAAGTACCTACAAAGAAATGCGCGTGAAATATTCATCTCATTAGCACTGTATAATAGTTGGACTGCGGAAGAGAAACTATGACTGTATGAGGGGTTAAACTAACAACCGAGTTGGGAACCGGGTTGGCAAGCGAGTTAAACAAACTTTGGGCGATTTGGTTCTCCAAGTTGATTTGAGACAAGTTTTTTTGGCTGATTTTTTTTTCTTTTTTGTTGCTTTTTAACAGAAATCTTCTTTGTCTTAGCCTAGCATCAGTTCCGATCAGGACTTTACTTCTAAACTATAGGGTTTCACCCGATTAGAACTGATAGAATGCCCTATTTGAAATTGAACCAAGAATTTTGAAGTCAGTCACGTTATAGCTGGGATTACCACACATTGTTCAATGACTTTCTTGTAACTTAGTCGATCTAACAATGCAATCCCTTACTCTATATTGAATTGGTAAGTGAAGTTCATCCACTCGCGTTTTGTGATGCACACACCTGACTGCAATTGGTTGTTGCAAATTTTTCGAGCCATTATGATCTGCTGTTTTCTTCGATTACAAAACAAACAACAAATTTCTCTTCTGGCCGGTGGTCCTCACTTTTCTGTTTGTTTAGCTTTGTTTTATTATTGTTTACAGCCCATTGTTGCCTACCCTAAAATAATTTGTCCTAGCTAGAGAATAACCAATTGCAACAGCGTTAAGAGAAGTTCTGTTATTCAGAAGTTAAGCAAAAAGATCACCGCGAACAGATCCAAACTCTTTTTTGTCCAAACGATTATTTGTAGTCGCAAGTTTGTTTTTTTGCGCCTCTAAATGATGTAAAGTTTGCAAATAAATGCGGCTATTTCAGCAGGTGGTATTCGCATTCACCGAGTTTCCAGGTCATTTTTTAGCCGAAAAAGCTGAAGCTTTAGCCTGCTTTGACTGATAAGATGAAATTAACTGCTAGGTTATGAAACCAAATGCTCAGACAAAACAATGGAGTTTCTTGTCTTTGTCTGTTTTAAACTTTGTTTTTCCGTCTTGATTAACCCCTCTGGAGGTGGTGAGGTGAAGATTAATCGCCAACGTTTAGGAGGTAAGTGAAAGCGTGAAACATCTTAGATGGGGCCCACATAAATTTCTTACGGCGTAAACTTTCTATTGATTTAAGACTGGACTTGATTTTCAACTTTAAACCATTTTCAATGTTTCAAGTACCTAGAGGTGACCTTTCTTTAAGATAAATTAAACCAATAGTATAAAATAAGAATCAGATGAAAATTTAAACTCATGGCCAGGAAATAACCAAACGATGTATAAAACAACCATTCATTGTATTTTCTTTGTTTGGAAGCCATTAATTCATTCTCTCAGTATGTAATAAACAAGTTCTGTTCTCTTATTTGCCGTATCTACCAATACCGATTACAATTCTTTAACTGGTCAACAGCTGTATGTATGGTTTAACTACTCCATAGTGAGGCAAATTGTCCAGGCTTATTACAGGCTGAACAAATGGCGTTCATGTGTCCCCTTTGACCATCTGCAAACACTTACGGCTTTCAAACTAAAGTTTGACTAAATGTAATAAAGCGTACTGGTCAAGTGCTAAACTTTGAACCAAGAAAACGATAACCTTATACCTTGGAAGAAAGGAGTACTTACTAGAAATACAACGGAGCTCTAGATACTTTCCATTTAACGACCAAAGGGCAAAATACTTTCTTTGATTGAGTTTATAATTATATTATATACATAATATTCAACCATTATTCGACGAGTAGTGCGCGTTGGATATGAGATGGTGGATAATCATCTCATATCCAACGAGCGCGAGTGGAATAATTGATTTATTAAAAACGCCCACAAAATATCGAGAATTCTTTCCGACTTTATTTGTCAAAACAACCGATTTACAGCTTGTTTTTAATTTGAGCAGACGCGTACGTACAGTTACCACATTTGGAGAGCATGGTATAATGGCTCATATACTATGAGGCTAAGCCAATCAAAGCTCTAGAGTTGCATTATCCAATGATTCAGTTTTTAATGATATAAAATATTTATTTTTCATTGAAGAACCTATAGCTGTTGACGATGTGGAGGTTTCTCGAACAAAGAGAGGTTTTGGTAAATCAGGGCCACCCTGTAATAGTAAGTTTTTACAGAGACTTTATCTATTATTTCAAACAACACCCGGAGAGTAAATTTTACGAAATTCGTCTCAATTGAAATAAAAGAGATCACAAAATACATTAAAAAAAATTAAATTTTGGTTGAAAAACATGCTTTTACGGAGCTTAACCTGTCACGCCATCTGCCAGTTGTTTCTTGTGGAAATTAGAAAGTAATTTGTGGGACGTCTCGTGTTTCCTCCTACACTCCTTTCGTGCTCTAGTTTCTTCCTGCGTGCTTTAAAACAGAACAGAGCACAGTCAAGGCTTCTTTATTTTTCAACCAGTCTCACGAGCAAATGGGGATTTGAGACACAAAAACTATTACGGTCAAACCAGGTCAAGCGTACCCCACAAGAAGCCATTAATGAATTTATTATTCAAAAGTTGAATCCGTTGCTAGTTGTAGATTTCAGATTGATCTCTGCATTCTTGTATGTGTAATGAGCTGTGAATTCACATGCGAGGTAGTTATGAAATTTCTACCAGCTCCATTTTGCTGTAATTGATGTAAATGTCTTCTAAGAAGCTTAATGCATTCAAAGATTTCCAATCTGACCAAAAACAGAGAAGTTCTCGTAAAATATTCACTGCTCATTACGCATGCAGAAATGCCGCTTTGAATTTGACACCAGTTACGGGAACGACTAACGGATTCATTTTTCAAATAATAAATTCACTGATAGAAATCTTGGGGGGTACGCTTGACTTGGTTTGACTGTAAATCGATGATTAAGCCAACGAGCAGTGCAATGCATTTTTCCTTTCGTATCACAAATTATTTAAATTCAAATACTACTCCCCTCTGGATGGGACGTTTGTCCTTCGCACGCGCAGGGTCACTTCCAGCAATATCATCGGTACTCATTTTACACCAGGGTGAAAGGGGAGAAAAAGGAGCAAAGTTTCGTCTCTAAGGAAACGACAAGATGCTAAGGCTTAAGGGAAAAATGAAAAAAATCCGAATTGAGTTTTTACTGTTCGATTCTAACTACTTTTTTTATTCTTGTCTTCATTTCAGTGGAGCATGGCGTTTACCTAGAGAAATGGGAAACAATCGACTATAACCGTGTTGAATTTCTGAAAGCAGATCCTCGTTATCCAGATCTACCTAGCTATACAACTTGTTTTCCCACGTTTGAGCAGCCCTCGAACTGGGACGACTTCTTCGGAACTCGTTTAAGAACATATTTTGTGCCTACTGAAAACGGCATCCATTACTTCATGATATGTAAGTTGTTTTCTTTGGCAATGAAAGACATTCGTCACTGACAATCTTCGGATTGAAATGTAGTGTGAGTAAATACGAGAAAATACTAGTGGCAACGAAAAGTTATAGGCTTGTAACAAAGTTAAGGGTGAAAATTTATTTTCACCTTATTGTCTGGCAATTCTTCCATAACAAACGCAGCTTTTATTTTCTAAAATAGAAACTAAAATCCCCGCTACGACAACTACCAAAACGAGCTTATTATCAGATCTTATGAATTATATTTATCTTGTCATGGTTTGAATTGAGAGACCCATCAGTGACATTGACCACTCCTTTGAATGGTTAAAAATAAGCAAAACCTTCTAATTTTTGCAGGTTTAAAAATCGTGGAAAGAATTAATAACAAAATTTTAGTGCCCTTACGCTTTGCAATGCTGTAATACTTTGTTATATTCACGGGAACCCATTTTTTGTTGCTGCTGTATTACTTTGGAATGACTGAAATGTTTTACTTAATTAACAGCATCTAGAGGTGGAAGTGATCTGTTCCTCAGTACAAATTACGATCCTAAGAACAAGGCTCTAATTTGCGCTGTACAAGCAGGATTTTCGACTGGACAGTATGAGTATGACAGGTGGGATATTTGTCCCGGGTGGGGGGGGGGGGGGTACTCCCTATGATGCCCTATAGGGGAAGGCTTCGCCCGACAGGGGTATCCCCCGGGGATATTTGTAGCTTTTTTATGATTATCACTTTTTTGTAGTCTTTTTTTAAAAAAACAAATTCCAAATCCTTGAAAGGGGGGGGGGGGGGGGGGGGTACTCCCTATGATGACCTATACGGGAAGGCTTCGCCCGACAGGGGTATCTCCCGGGGATATTTGTAGCTCTTTTATGATTATCACTTTTTAGTAGTCCTTTTATAAGAAAACAGATTCACAATCCTTGAAATATCTGAACCGATCCGGTGACAATTTTGGTGATTTCCATCTGATTTCATAAGTACGCTTTTCACCCTTTTAGTTTTCTGGCTATAGATGCGGTTTTCAAACAACTTTTTCGGTCTATTCCCTCTTCTAAATTTTAAAAAACTCAGAGTAGGGTAATGAAGGCATATAAACAGCGTTATACGATTTTCTTTGGAACGCGGGCAAAAATCCATAATGCCTTCCAGTCATCTGTAAAATCGTCTTTGGGCCTGAACATGGTATTTCTGACCCAGATTTGAGTATATGTCAAGCTTTGACGTGTTTTTTCTTTGACCTAATTTAATGTCATCTCTCTAGTAATAATTTCGTTTATGGGGTCACAGTTTTCAATCGCAGTCTATTCGACAAACGACCAGAAACAAGTCAGTACCCCAGAGAACTTGACCTCAGTATGGGAGATCGTGGATAACTAGAAACACATTTTTTTTGCATTTCTCTTCTTGCCGTAGGTTCAAAAAACAGACCTCAAACGCAGTATATATGAAGAAGGGAAAATACTATTACATGGAGGCTCTAATGAAAGATGACCATCAGAAGGATCATTTGGAAGTTGGTTTAAAAACACCAAGTGGAAAAGTTTTCGAAGTGATACCATCGGAGTTCCTTTGGACCACTCTCAAACAAATGAAGAGTCAGTATATATATTTAGTTAGTTCAATTTTATCCTTAGTTTAATTTTCATTTTTCTTCGTTTGTTTGCGTGGTTATGTTGGATAGTCAGAGTTAAAAAGTGGGAATAAAACCAAAAACCAAAGGAAAAAGATGAACGTCAACTAACGTAACGTTTTTAGGCTAATTTGGAAGCCTATTCAATGAAGATTGACCTCAATCTTCTCAGTCATCTGCTTCTCTCCTAATTCTGTCGACCCTTTCAGGGTATATTTTCTTTTCGTTTCTTTCAAGTTTTAATAGAGACCAGAAAGAGAATAACCATCGATCCCGCTGGAAAACGCGGCTTAGAATTAGGAAATTTTAAAGATGACACGGTCGTCCAAAGCGAGCGAAGATATTCGGTTGCTCCACAAAGCCGTGAAATTTTAATGTTTGTATAGTGTGGGGCAAAAACTTTCCACCCTTCTCCCTCACCATACAAATGTCTGTAAAATTCTGTGACTTTTCTGAGCTTTATCTTCGTTACTTTTCAACTCAGAGGAATATCTTTCAATCTAGGCAGCTTTACTGATTTTAAGACCGTTCTCTTCAGCCGTGTTGGTGGTTTTTTGCTAACTAACACCAATCAAAGTTGACAAAGAACCGTGGATGTTTCTATTAAAACTAACTTAAGTGCATTTCCCTCTTAGAACCTAACACGACAGAAAGTAAGGTGTTAATTACGGCTGCAGCACAATCAGGAGCGAAAGCAGGTAAATTTTATGGAGAAAAATGGGCGAAGGAGTCTGGTGCAGAAGCAGGGTACACGGCCGGTGCCATGGCTGGAAGGGAAGCTGGAACATCAGCAGGAGCTAGTGCTGGTGAGAAGGCGGCCATTAAAACAATAACAAAAGCACTGGAAGATGCATTGAATAAACTTCGCGGTGATGATGGACACAAATTTAAGATCACTGTTAAGGACGGCACAGTGGTATCGGTGACTGGTCCTGGATTGGATAATGAACCTGTTGGCAGTTCTTCTGGATCTACAGGTTATTCGTGGAGTGTGGGAGGAGGTGGTGGGGAGGCCGGTGCAGCCAAAGGAGCAGGAGGAGTCAGTGGAACCGGTGGTGGTGGGGGAGGGAAAGGTGGATGGGGTGGGGGAGGAGGGCAAGACAGAGGAGAAGGGTGGGGAGGGGGTGGAGTTGGAAATAGTAAAGGATTAGGGACAGGTGGAGCCGGAGAAGAAGGAACCGGTGAAGTAGGTGCAGGAGGAGGTGACAGGGGAAATGAAGAAGCCGGTGCAACTGGTGGAACTCAAGGTGGAAGAGTTGGGGGTCGTGGAGGAGCAATGGGAGCTTCCGGTGGTACCTGGGGTTTCGGAAAAGGTGGAAACTTTCAAAACAAAACGGGTGGCGGCGCCAATTCTAAGTCTTCAATGCCTCCTAATGCACATAGAAAGGTGACTTATATTCCAAAACAAGGAGAAGATCCTCAGACAATGGCAAGATCACTGGTATGGAGAGCTGGCGGTGCATCCAAAAGTAAGTTAGTCGTACTGGTATTTATCTTGCAGAAAATGGATAAAAATAAGCACGTGACGTCCTAGTACATCTTACAGAGATTCCAGCTTTTGTATCATGAACCATAATAGCTTTTCTTTTTTCCTGATTTTTCATAAGAAGTCTGAAACTTTTCAACAAATGCTCAACCTTTTCTTGTACCATAAGTTTTATTTGATAACTTCAAGGAAGAATGTGATCGCGATTTATGACAATGAGATGTGATCAGCTTAGTCTTATACTCTGATATCAAAACTACGATTTCTTCTTTCAGTTGTGGACAAAGGAATGTATACAATTCATTCAGGCCTAATACCATTCTATCAGGAAAACTTCACTCTCAATTTCTGCTGGCGATCGTTTGATGGGCAAATGTTCTTGAAGCCTGTATGCAACGTTTTCATTGCGCACGTTCCAGGTTTGTATAGTGGACAAAGTGATGGGAATGAGGATAGTGTTTCGTTTGAGTCAGCTTGCGCGCCTGGGTATTTTTTGAGACAGAAGAACTATAGACTGCTGATTAAGGAGAGAGATGGATCATCTCTTTTTGGTAAGTCATTGAAAGATTTTAGTGCATGAACTTAGTCTAATAACCATTAGGTTAAATACAATTTTTGTCGATCTATTTGGAAGAAAAAGGAAGACCTAGGATAAAATACAGAACCGATCAAAGGGCTTAAGCTTGAAACCTACGACTTGCTTGTCCAAAAAAAAAATCATTTTTTCCGGTTACAAAATATCAACTAGATTCATGAATTTGGCCAGTCAAAAGCAATGCCTATAAATTACTTCAGAAATAAGTGACCAGCGGCTCTTTCGTTCTTGTTTCAGTTTTTGTTTGTGTCTTATAAATTTGCTGCCTTTGGGTCGCCGAGGATAAGGCAAAAAAAATCAATTTTTATAATCGTTAGCTTTTATGTTCATAATAAATGCGAATTTTCTATTACATTCAGATTGATAGGAATGCTATTGACTATTGTGCATGTTCAAGTCCAAAAAGGCTAAAAAAGATTTAACAAAAACGTCTGATGGGGTTCACATATACCATTGCAATTTATTATAACCATGATGACCAACTTCACTAGAACATAGCTATCTAGTTCTGCTGTAGAACATAGCCATTTTGGGGGACCAAGTGACACCCGTCACTTCACAATCGTAACATTTTCTTGTTTTTAAATTTGGATTTGAATCTGAACAAATGCAGGAGTTTCGCCTACTGTTTTCGGAAAGCAAATAATCCCTGAACTGTCTATCACATCGCGCAGCATTAAAGTATTCAGCAGCTTTAGTTTGCTATTGTTCCTTTTTAGTTCCCTGCCTTTTTAATTTTTGTTTTTTTAGATAAAGATGCGTCATTCTATATTTACTCAGTCATGAAGTATTTCCGAAATTTTCTCTTTCACTCCATGCACGATGACTGGTACATCTGTGAAAGTGATCAGCGCTCATCAAAACTAAGGACAGTCCGACAAAAGATTAAAATAGTTTTGGACTTTTACAATGGCGACCCGGATGTCCTCGATCGTTGTACCTTCTTGCTTTACCCAATACCTCCAAGCATGAGTAAGCTAAAAAACTGTCAAGGTGCGATTGGGCCCGTGTCACTTAACACCATCAATGGACAAGCACCTCCTGAACCGCCTCCTTTGGTGCCTCCAAAACCATCAGTGCCCGTCTTGCCTGCTTGTTTGCCAACATGCCCGGTTATAAAACCAGCAGGGAATTCAACATCTCCAACTCCTAGACGTGAGTCACGGTAGTGTTAAATTACACTACGAGTAGTCCCCATTTTTCCTCAGGGATAGTAGAGCGAGCGAAACGCGAGCGCGCGTGAAAATCACCCCACACGAGAAAAGGCGACACGCTGCATCTCGCCTTTTCTCGCTTGGGGTAATTTTCACGGGAATTCGCGTTTCGCTCGCTCTACTATCTCTGAGGAAAAATGGGGACTACTCGTAGTCTAGTGTTAAATGGACATGCCGCTCAATCCCTCTTGAGGAGAGATGGGCCAATCAACTAAGTTTCGTTCAGGGAGGGTTCGCCCAGAGGTCCAACCTGGCCACTTAACCTTTTATATTGCACTTGCCACTAAAACGGTAACCCTTTTATTCATATTTCATTGAAAATGCCTGAACTAGTGGTACTCCTTTATATACCTTTATAAAGCTATTTTGGTTATTAACGGAGCGACTTTAACTCGTTTTTCTATTGAGTAACCTTAATATATGTGAATGGATAAGCCGCAAGACGAGACATTTCGAGAGACTTTGAAAGACTCTTTTGACTTATAAAATCCTTAATTGACAGTTTTTCCTTGCTCTTATTGTACCTCATCCCTTGTAATCCCAACCCTTCATATAACTAGAGCAAAAAATTGATAATAATAACACTAATTCGAGATAGAATTACTAAAAAAATTGGTTAATATAACCATGAAACCAAAATTCGAATGAAACCGAGTTCGAATTTAGATATTTCACGGGGATTAACAACTTAAAATGATGATTGGATTCCCTTACAATATGAGCCGAGTACTTTCTCAGCTACACTGTGCATAATGTACTTGCATTTGAATTTTACAGAATGGTGTGTCGCTTTGAATTTCATCAACAATTTTGGTTTGCCTTTCAAACTCTTCTCATCGCTCAAACATGAAGGATATTTTATTACTGGGCCTGGCTTCAGACTTAAACTTATTATAAAGCGACCCGACCTTCATAGCCACGTGACCTTCAATGCTGTTGACATACCAGGAAGAGAACTTTTCCTAAACGGACAAACAAGTGTTTCAGAGCCAGTGGTCTTAGGTTGTCCTGTGTTTTTGAACGTACATGTTACAGCAAGTCTAGGTAATTCTGGTTGTCGAGCTTAAGATAACTCTTCTTAATTTACCGTATGAAACGCTGCGGCGTGCAATAAATTTTTAGTGGCGTTTATGATGCGGTGTTTATAACGACTCGATATCTCACTTTTTTGCTGAGATAGAATCGTAGTTGTTTGGCTTTTGACAGTTAACCGAGTTGTAAGGTACTAGTACTTATTATCAATTTTTATATCATTTTCGGAAAACGCCGCTTCTTCTGATTGGGCGCGGCGTTGATTCGAGGACGGTGCAAATTAAAGACGCGAAATCAGTGTGGTATAGTAACATACTCAGAGCCAAGATTTTTCTATTTCTTTTACTGTTGTGCGGAAGTGTTTTTTTCTGTAGGTGAGTAAATGCTAACAAGGCATACGGATGTTCCAAATAATCTAAGTCGCGGTTTGTTTGCAGAATGCCCAAGCAGATGTACCAACCGAGTAGTGTGCTTCTGGATTCATTCCTGTCCGTCACATTGTTGTAAGGCTACTGTTGCTTGAAGTTATTCAAAAGAAAAAACGCTGAACAGCAGGTGATACAAAGAGGGAGAACGTCTGCTGTGGAAAATTTTTTATCATTACTTGACTGCAAATGAACAACTTTTTTATTGTTTTTCAACATAGCAATGAGATTATTGCGACGAATCTACGTATATATTTGTTTGAACAACACTATAGAATAAACTTTGATTGAATGATGTATAGACCTTTGCTTCAATGGCGCCGATATACAGTTGTTGGATGAGGCTGAATATGATATCAAAAAATATACCTAAAGAGGACCGAAGAGTGGTGCAGACTATTATAGCCAAATAAAAGAGTGCTGCAATCAAACGTGAGAAGGGAAAGTCTGAACTGCGTACTATTAGGTTATGCTTACACCATACAGAATAGCTTTCTCGCCGGCACGAAGACCGTATCTGATTAAGAACAGTGATTTCGGCGCGCAAAGCTGCGTTACCCCGATCTCTAAAGTGGAGAGTCACAAATCGGATAGGTGTTCACACTGATACCAGATAGCTTTTCGTGTGTTGTCCCGAAAAGCTACCCGCATAGTATAGACATACATCTTAGATTGCCTACAAAACAGGTTTGTCATATATGTCTTGCAAGTCAACTCTTCTTCTCGTAAAATGAAAATTGCTTAGCTACACTAAGGAATGAGACTCGTTAATAAAACTGTTTATCACAAGTGGAACTGACTGGTGTTGAATTCAGTGTTGTTATACCTGCTCATAGTAAGGGTAATCCGAAAATGTCAACAGCCAGCGTTGTAAAACAGTGGCCCGTGAACTTCAGCAATAAATTAATCGGAGCCCGGAACAAGTGGATTATAATTCACCGTTTTTGTGTCTTAGTTGATGAGCCTTAGAATCATAACGATCTAAAAATTTTGAAACAATAGCCATGCAGTCTTCAAGGTTTGGTGGTCGCCAAATCACAGGCGGGGACAGGTGGTTTGAAATGTCAATTTTCAAGCAAAAATCGTGTACCCTGTTATTTTTTCAAATCCCTGGCGATGATGTGTTTAAAAAATGCCGTTTACTACGCCATCCTATTTATAGTGAGATTTTCCAAAAAAAGTGGACAAATCAAAGCAAGAGCGAATTCAGCAGGTAAGGATTTTTTTTCGCACTCCGCTAGCTATGAATCGTCTCGGACAGAAAACTTCCACTCTTCAATATTATGATATTTATTAAAAAATTCAAAGTACTTGTAATGACATTTTTTATATTGGACTGAGCAAAACGTGATTCTAATATTTACACCTGTAAACACAACAACATTTTTCACACAATTTGTGAACAAAATAGACCAATATTTATACAGCAATTATAGGAGCACTGATTGTGAACAGGTCAGTAAATAAAACAGGGAATAAAACAAATAAAATTCTCGTTTAATGAATAACCCACTGAGAATGGACAACAAAAAATTGAAGTTCGAGTTTGAAAAGCTAAGAAACTTTATATTTTGTGCCTGATTGTCAGTCGTTCAGAAAACTTTGCAATATAAATCGATATGAACATCGTACTTTGTATCTTACTAAAACGGGGAAGAGAGTGGGCAACGACCACGCGGAAAAGGAAATGAAAAATGAAAACAAAACAGGGAATAGAAAATAAAGTTACTAATTGTTGGGTTTTGTTCCCATTTTTCGTTTTTCCTATTTTTCTCCGCGAGCTCGTATCCCCGTTCCCCGTCTTAAAGGAGCTGTGTCACGGCAGTCCAGTTCATGTTGTTTAATTTTGCCAATTTTACTCGCCCTAAATTGCTATGGAAGCAAAGAAATTACAGGTAAATGACAAAATCAGAGATCCGAGACAAACAAATATGTCTCCTGAGCATTATTTTTGAAGTTGCAAGCAGCAGGGATCAACTTTGAAAAACTATTAGGCTGAACAGTTTTCAAAAACCCTAATTTCAATCCGTTTCAATCTTCTTCAGGTTTTGCCCATCCGTGACATCTGTTGTCTCTGTTATGTTATTTTAACTTTCCTTTAAAGTTTTGAGCCTTTAGTTTTATGTTTCTCTTAATTTAATGGGCATTTTGTGATTTCCTAATTTGGCTGAATTTCGTGACACAGTTCCTTTAATAACATCGCTCCGGGACCACAAACCGTTTGACTGAACTGGGCCAATCAGGCGCGGATCCACACCGGTTTCCACCGTTTTACGGAAATCGGTCAGATTTTTCTTAAATAGATATATTTTTAATAAATAAACTTTCCAAGTTGCAAGGCTTTATCCAAGGTGAATGGAACTGGCCAATATCCTATCTGAGTGACTCGGAACCCCGAGAAAGGAGACTTTAGGGAGTTAAAATATAAAACATTTACCGGGGGAGCATGCCCCTGGACCCCCAAGAAGCTTGCGTTTTCGGCGCTCGTTGAGGAAATCGGTCAGCATTTATCCTAGATCCGCGCCTGACAATTGCCGACCTTTTGACCGCATTTTTGTTAACATATACAAATTTACATAAGACGAGGCTCACGGTCATTCCGGCCTATTTGTCTCTGGAGGTGCAGCAATTGATATCCCCTAATTTATTCAAGGGAAAATTAAGGGACCTGAATTTCAATTGTCCAAAAGCAGGTGTTTTCTTTTCATCTTTATTATTTTAGTTTTTATCTTGGATTCTAAATTAGTTAGGTAGTTAGTTTTCTATACTCGAATGTAAATGTGCCTGAAGGAAATACCGTGTATAAATAAAGTTAAAATACCATACCATACCATACAGCCTAAAGACCGCGGTGTCTGGGAGGGTAGCCTGCGCGCAGACACTTTAAACCTTGTATATCCATACTATATGCGATACGTGGGCCGGCTGCACCGCAGGCTACCGGGAGGGGGGCTATTGCCATATTTGGGGCTATTTGGTATATGCCGTTAGTCTAGAATAAAGATAGAAATCGGGGAGTCTGAACAATTTTCCAAGAAACTGATCAATTGCATTGTCTATTGTAGGGTAAGAAAATCAGCTGAACGTGGCCCAGTCAGGGGGGGGGGGGGGGGGAATAGGCCCCTGGTCCCGGTATGGGCGGGGGGTTTCAGGGTCCCAGCGGCATATCCCACCCAAAAATTCCTAGAGTATTCCCCCAGGCCCGGTGTGGTTTTGCACTTTTTCCGGGTTTTCGAATGCATATTAAAATGTGCTAGAGAGAGTTAAACAAACTTTGCAGTTTCGGATCCAGGACTTGGATGCATAATATACAAAGATGGTAACCCTTTGACTTTGACACCTATGATTGTCTGTACTATTTTCTAGTGACTTCTTCTTCATCGTTTTTTATTGGAGGTTAAATAGTGTTCCAAACAACTAGAGGCTTACTGACAGTTTACTTGTAAAACAGAGTATGTAATCAACAAAGTAATTAAGACGGAATCCACTAGGAAATTGGGTAATTTTAATTTTCAGTAGACAAAAACTTTGTACCAGAATAAAGAATATTGCATTCATTTTTTTTTTACATTTTTCAAAGGCTAAAGACGTAATAAATCATCTGCAGTAACACCAAAGAAAATTTCTCATGGTAGTTCGAGAAAATGAATGTCAAATTTCACAAGAATTGTGATTACACAGGTAAAATTCTGAAAATTTCATATGTAAATGTAATTTTTGTGAAATTTGAATTAATTTTGTCCAATGAAAATCAAAATTACTCAATGTCCTGGTGGATTCCGTCTTAAAGCCATTTTACCCTGATGGCTGTTGCCCCCGGGGAAAGAACCTTTTTATGTGTAACCGCTTTCTCCAAGGTAAAATTGTCTCGGGGAAATTTCCATATATAGATAAGCCAAAAAGAACGAACGAATTACCTATGACAGTTTCTATGACGTTTCCCTCGAAGCCCTCGGGAGCTTTGGGAAAAAGTCTAGTGCAACAAAGTACGTTAAGGGTGAACTTAAGGGAGCCCGTACTAGGTACGTATCCTTTAAGGTAGAAACTTGCAAAAGTGGTGAGTATGTGCTGGTGTACCGATAACGGAAGGATTCACAATTTTTGTATAAATTTTGCAATAATCATGCACACTTGCAACCATGGAATCGAGGGACCAGGCGATATAATAATTACTTCATATGGTGTAAGTTATGGCGTAATGGGTTTAATCTTCGCTACAGTTTGGGTGTTGTACCTCATTACATGAGTTAATTTTTCGCGCGTTGATAAAATATACGTAACCAATCAATATTTGATCTTTATCGTTTGGAAGGAGCGGAAATTACCTTATTTGATTCTTAATTACTGATTTAAGACGCCAAGAGTGTTTAAAAGACAGTACTGGAAATACGTGAATCGCAGGACCTCGCGTGGCACTTCGAGCGAACGGCAAGAAGTAGGAAAGGGAAATAAGGCAGTAGGAAAGAAAATTTATAAATTTAAGAATTAATGTTATCCAATTTTATTACAAGCACTGGATGATAACCATGTGTTGACGAGGCAACGAAGAACTTTTGGTAAAGCGGATCCAGTTTGTCCTCATAGTAAGTAAGAATTTTAAGGGGTCTTCACTTGCTTAATTAATTGCCCCACTAAGAAGTCTTTTTTAGAACGTTGTTGTATTTACAAGGCAAAAACGCTCCATGTCTACCTCGTCATCAACAACAACAACAACTTTATTAACAGCAATGAAATACTTAGCATACACACTACCTACCTTTAGCAAAAGCTTTTCGAGGCAGACAGTGTGGGGACGCTACATACATGAACTGATACATTTTGAGACATTTTACGAGGAAAATAATAGAGATTTACAGGACCTCGAGTTGATTCTTCAGTTCTTAATTATTTTGCTCGAGAGCCTTTTGATGCTATCTGGCATTATATAGTCGTTGGCCAAATTTAACAAGCTCACAAGAACGAGGGAAAACATACGTGTGCACCTTGCAAGCACACATGCAAGGCGACCCAGTGTCCTCTCTCCTTTCCCTAGACTTCTTGCGATATCTCCCAACTGGAGAACTTTCTCGCACGCTCACGGTAGTAAGCTGGAGCGTAATTGTCGGAACTTGACTAGGCTGTTGCTTATTCCGTTATAGTGACTAACGGCGCGTATTTAGAGAGATGGGACAGGATAGACTTCAAACGAGTCAAATTTCTCCTTATGGATCCACGCTATCCACACCTGCCGTCCCAGTCACTTTGTGTTCCTGATTTTCATCAACCTCAGAACTGGACAGATTTCTTTGGTGCTCGGATGAGAACTTATTTTAAGCCTCTTCAGTCAGGATACCACACATTTATGATTTGTAAGTATTAAAGCAATGGTTAGTGAATACTTCTTACACTGGAAACTGTTGTATGTCAGGGGAAGTCTTGCTTATTAAATAATAAACAAATAAATAAAGTGCACCGTAATACGTGCGAAAAGTATAGTTGTCAGGTCGGTGAAACCTGAGATCGCGAGACTTCTCTAAAAGCAGACTTTCATCAGACGCTCTGAATGATGATGATTTATTAATAAAGATAATAATAATAGTAATAATAATAATGATGATGATGATGATGATGATGATGACGACAGACCAGCGTGACACGAAATGGTTTATTTTGCTCATCAAACCTTAAACAAGAGACCTTTTGTCCTAGGTGGCATCTGCCCGAACAGAGCCGAAGAATGTTTGAATAATCGGAAACCTTCTATGGGCGGGACAAACTTGCGTACCACGGGGGGTGGGGAGTGCTAATTGATCTGTGAAGAACGAAATCTCACTAGGGTACCGACGAGAATAGTCTATAGCTCCTCATTCAAGAGCTATAGAGAGCTATTCTACTAGAAGTAGCATTCCATATGCAATACTGACGTACACAAATTGATAGTCTTTGCTTCAGCTTCTTAACACATCAGGCACTAAGGCAGTGAACTGTTCTGAAAACTTGATCCGTTAGTCCCATCATTGACATCATTGCATATTTTTTAATGAACCCGCCGCGTGCGTAGACTTCGCCCGATACTATTATGCCGTTACTACAAAGATTTCGTTCATAGTTATCCAAGCAGCGGAGAATAGGTTCTCAAACAACTGGCTTTCTTTTTACGCGACAACGCGCTTTGAATCGAAAAGGTGTGATCTTTTTACTTCAGTATACAGCACAGCACGTGCATTAAGAGAATGCGAGTTACGCACCAAGTGCCTATGGTTTTTACTTACAGAGAGCATAGTGGTTATTAGAGGAGACTGGTTATGAGAGACAACAAACATCAAATATAAAAACAACGGTGCACAATCCTTTGTTTTATGGCAAATCGTGACGAAATAAATTAATGGGACGTATTTACTGGTCAAAAACATCCAAATGCTAGGAATGCTATTGCACGTTCGTTGTACACCGTCAGGTCCACAAAAACATAAAGCAAAGGAGTCTGACAGGTTTCATAACCATTCCAGAATATTAATTATGCACAGAGTACTAAATTTTGTCAGTAGGCAAGAGTAAGCAAGTTCACACAAATCCGAAAATTTTTGAAGCCACATACTTCCGTCTACAAGAAACTAGTGAATGCGGTCACCGAAACCGCATTGTTTTGAAACCGGTTTCAAGAAAAGTTTAACGTCCCGTCCACACGGAATCCAGATAAAAACTATGCGGTTTTAAAAATGTTCGGATTCGTGTGAACATGACTTAAGTGTAGCGGCATAAGCTGTGTTTTAGTAGAAGTAAAAAAGAAGGTACGATTTTTTTCAATCTTTTGCTCACATAATCGTATTCATCACCAACACAAAATACCCTTTTTATAGATCGATTTGTTTCATTTAACAACGAATAACAAAACTAAGTACCCACGATAGCTTGGTCAGTTTTAATACAATGAAAAATGATAAATTATAGAATTAAGGTTCTGGAGGGTGTTATCAACCGAAATGTAATTCTTCATATCATACACGGCTTAATAAATAATCATATTTTACTTTCTCTGACAGCATCAAACGCTGGCAGTGAATTGTATATCAGCCCAAATACAGATCCGAATGACAAAAGAGAGATTGCATATGTAGATGGAGGTTTTCCCAGCAAACCATATGAGTACGATAGGTAGGCAGATATATATATATATATATAGCGCGTGCAAGTTTTCAAATTTGTTCGTTATCATGTAATAATGGTGTGCTATGCTTGTAACGGCCATTCACCCTGATGAAGGCCGTTTAACACGGCCGAAATATAGGTGAGAGACGGAAAACATATTGTTTTACTCTTCACTTGTGGTACTATATTTATTGAGTTGTGAAGGGAGTGTCTTCTAAAAGATGCTTGTGATAGGTTATATATATATATACAGCATTTCATTCTATTCCTAAAGGACCTATTAGGCTGGCCGGTTTCTGTAGGCTCGCTTACCAGCCACTGCTCGAGGAATGAGCGCGTTACTCCCTCAAGAAGGACCAAGACCGGACCCAAGAGAACGGAGGAGATTTCCTAGGTCATTGACATTAAAAAAAAGTCTATTACTTGCAATTAACTACTCTATTTATCTGACTTACGTATCTTACCCTTTTTATTCCAGGTACGTAACCCAAACATCTACCCCTGTTGAACTGAAAAAAGGAAAATACTACTACATGGAAACTGTCATGAAAGATGACCATCAGCCTGATCACTTAGAAGTCGGTCTTGTGACGCCAGACGGGACACAGTATAGTTATATACCCGGCTCTAAATTCTTGTGGACGATGTTGCCATTACAACCTTGTATGTATAGAAAGTGCAAGGCCTTTTTTAAGGGATCCATTATATTGGTCCAAGTTGATTCAATATTGTTGATTGTGGCCTGTTTGATGCCTTTGATCACGAAAGATATTGCATGGATGATGTTTGACGATGTTTGATTAGATTTAAATTTGTTGAGACTGTTGTAGAAGGCCTAAATGTAATAAACGGTCCTAAATGTAATAAAGTCCTAAATGTAATAAACTCTCAAGCTGCCAATTACAGTAATTACTCGAATAAGCCCTGCCCTCAAATAAGCGCCGCATTTGGAGGGGGTGGGAGAGTTAATTAGCGGCGCTTATACGAGTAAATACGGTACTAAGCGGTATTGCTATGGTATTAAGCTCCGCTCTCAAATAAGCGCCGCATTTTTGGAGAAAAAAGTTAATAAATTCGCGTAAATTCGGTACATTTCCTTATGCACTGTGAAACTTAACGTTTACAAATAAATTGCTTGTAAACGGCAAAGTAACAGTATTTTTCTAAAAAAAGCAATATTTAAGCGATAGAAAACTTTTTTGTGAAACTTAACGTTTACAAATAAATTGCTTGTAAACGGCAAAGTAACAGTATTTTTCTAAAAAAAGCAATATTTAAGCGATAGAAAACTTTTTTACTGTTACTTTGCCGTTTACAAGCAATTTATTTGTAAACGTTAAGTTTCACAGTGCATAAGGAAATGTACCGAATTTACACGAATTAGCGCCGCGGCGCTTATTAACTTTTTTCTCCAAAAATGCGGCGCTTATTTGAGAGCGGAGCTTAATACCATAGCAATACCGCTTGGTAACGTATTTACTCGAATAAGCGCCGCGGCGCCACATGCGGCGCTTATTTGAGGGCTGGGCTTGTTCGAGTAATTACTGTAGTTGGCAGCTTGAGTTTATTACATTTAGGGCAAATTGTTATTACATTTAGGACAAAATGTTATTACATTTAGGACTTTATTACATTTAGGACCGTTTATTACATTTAGGCCTTCTACAACTGTTGTCCCCATCCAAATGGACCTAGCACAAGCCAAAAATATTGGATAACGTTGTACTAATATATTGGGTCCATTTGAGTGCAATTGTATTCAAAAATAAATGCTACTGACAGTTTCTCAGGAAGCAATGACAGCTACGCGGTAACCGCGAAACCTCCTCCGAGTACAATGTCGTATTGTGTCAAATTACGATCAATAAGTCCACTATCCTATGCTATTGATATTCAGCCACAGTAGGTACTACATAACGAAGATGGTTTAAAACCGAGAAAGCCATCTCACCCTCTTTTTCACTTCCTGACACATAAAAATTTTTTTTTTCTACTACAACGCGCTTTTGTAAAACTAGCTACAACATCAAATTCTGGATCAAAGGCCATTCTCCAGGCTGTTGTTCTTGTGCAAAATCCATGGGGCCTAATTTATCTTTTATTGATAATGTTTTTCTAGCAAAAAATGCTACCTACAAGGCATATTTGATAAAGGTAGCGGCATTGGCTGGGGCAAAAGCTGGCTCTTCATTTGGTTCGAGCTGGGCAATGAAAAGTGGTGCAAAAGCAGGCGCCAAGGCTGGTGCCATGGCGGGAATGGCGGCAGGCACATCAGCTGGAGCCACAGCAGGGGTAACAGCAGCTATTAAAACTGTGATAAAAACACTGCAAGAGGGTTTAAATGAACTTCATGGTGACGACTTGCATAAGTATAAGATCAATGTTGTAAACGGTACCGTGGTGTCAGTAACTGGTCCCGGGATTGGTGGAGCTGCAGGCACTGCGGGGACCGGTGCAGCAGCAGGGGCAGGGGCACCCGGGACCGCAGGGGCAGGTGGAACAGTAGGGGCCGCTGCAAGTGGTGGAGCAGCTGGGGCAACTGGAGCTGTAGGAGGCGCAAGTGCAGGGACTGCCGGAGCTGCTTCGGGAGGTGGTGTAGGTACCACTGTGGGTGTGGGAGGGGCCGCAGCAGGTGGGGCTGCTGGTGCTGCAGGGGGTGTTTCTGCAGGGGCCGGAGTAGAAGCTGGTGCTTCGAGTGGTGCCGTTACAGGCGGTGCAGGAATGCCCGGTAGTGAGAGTACCACGGGAGCAGCAGGTGGGGTAGTAAGCGGGCAAGTCACATCACCTGCCGGCGCTGTAGTGGCAGGTGGAGTTGCACTGGCTAGTATAGCCAGAACTCCACCTCAGAATACGACCTATATTCCAAAACCAGGAGAAGATGCCCAGACTGTGGCAAGGACTCTCATCTATAAAGGAGGAGGAGCAAGAAAAAGTAAATAACGTTTTGATGTAACAACTTGGGCTAGCCAATAGGTTTTTCGGGATCCTTGATTTTCTTTACTTGAAGCTCGGGATTCGGGATTTTAAAGCAAAATGGGGGCGAGATTCGGGATTGAAAGTATGCTTGGCTAATGAGATGCCAAAAATAAAGACATTAATAACAAACCAGCAAAGAGAAAAGCGACTTGAGGTTTCCCGATACTTCGAACGGACAAGCCGTCCTTCTTAAGGGGATTTAATGAAGAATGGGAAAGTCATTATAGACGAGTAGCAGTTGGAAATTTGATACAAAGATAATTGGCTAAAAAAAATAAATGGGCCAATAATGAGAAACAATTCAGACAAATGCCAAAAATAACCCTCAGGATTACGGGATTGCAAGAAATTTTTGAGTCGGGATTGCGGGATTGAAGAACCCTATTGGAGACCCTTAGGAGACTTTGTAATTCCAGTAAATGACGTTATCGAAAGAATTTTTCCGCAGCATTCGGTTAGCCGTAATGCTACTCATGACAACGTGGATATTTCACACAATCACCTTTGCAATCAGCTATCAATTTGGGAAATTTAATTTGTTATCCATCTGTCATTCATTAACGTGCTTATTTCCTATACACTGTCATCGTAATTCAAGTTGTAGTGACTCAAGAATGTTAAGACATAACCCAAATGCCTAATTTCCAACCACAAAGAGTTTTAACTTAAGGATTTACCTAAACAGCATCCTTAATGTCCTTGAATCTTTTAGTCACCTGACCTGTTCAAACATTTTTCGTAAGCAGGCGCACATTGACCACCAAGAGGATTAGTACAGTGAAGTGAAAACCAACATATTTCTATGGTTTTCGTCTTGAAGAATATGTCCTGAATGTCCGACTGCACTTTACCGTGAAAAAGTAATTTTGAAGAATAGGTCTCCTAGCATTTTTTATAGATTAATACCTCAAGTCCTAAAAGGTCAAGGAACTGTTTTTCTGCCTAACATAATAAGTGATCGTTAAGGCTAATAGCCAGAATAGGACATAGAATGTACTTGCTAAAGTTGCTGACTTTGCGGGGGGTCAAAGATCATAGGACTGACCATGTTTGAGGAATCCTTTCTTTATCTGACCCTAGAACTATACTGTTCTTGAATTTAATCTTTTTTGTTTGTGTCGTTTATTCATTTCTTCTTTCCACAGTTGTGGCAAATGCAATGTATACCTTTCATTCATTGGTCTTACCGTACCTTCAGGAAGATTACTTCCTCAACTATTGCTGGAGATCAAAGGATGGTCAGTTGTACTTGGATGCCTGGTGTCATGTTTTCATCGCCCGCATTCCCGCATTGTATACAAACACTCAATCAAAAGACACTGTTTCCTTTGAATCTGCTTGTGAACCTGGTTACTTTATCAGACAAAAAAACTATAAGTTTCTACTTAAAAAAAGAGATGGCACGGAGCTGTTTGGTAAGAAACCAGATTTTATTGCATGTTCTACCGTTTGAAGAAAACATGAATTCTTCCCTTTTAAATATTAATTTTAAAATTTTGGTATTTGGCTATTAAAACTAGAACGTACAAAACTATTTAGACTCCTAAGCACACTAATGTTCTGAAGAAAATTTGAAATATTCTCAAAATATCAAATTTTGGAGTACCCTGGGTACCAGAGTGTTCTCACGCTTGAAATGTTTAGGGACCGCCGGGTCATTATTTATCGCCTGGGGGGCCTTTGAACGTTATTTCACTGAAGTGACCCCCCCTAATAAAATTGGATGACTTTCGCGATCCCCCCCCGTATGTCTTTATTTTCCAAGCATATTTGAGTGGTCCCCCTCTGAATCCTTCCAAAGTTTTCAGTGATCCCCCCCTTTTGGGTTCTCAGTTACGACTGATCCCCCCTTTTGTTCTCCTAAAAATCAAGTGATCTCCCCTAAAATCGTCCGCCTCCCACTCCGGCGATAAATAATGACCGGTCCCTTACGCGATACGGCGGGATACTTTGTCGGCCGCAGCCAGAAACAACGCTCTGCGCTCGCTCTAGCTTGCTCACTTCGCTCTCGCGCCGTCGAATTGTCGAAAAAAAGAAAGAAAAACGTCTGTAGACAGGCTTTTCCTCTGACGTTTGACAATATAGTGATCATGGGATTTTAGGGACGGACCATTAGAAAACTTATGGGAGGGGGCGGGCGAAGTGCAAAAAAAAAAAATTCATGCACGCCAATTAATCCTAAAAAAATATTCATGCTATGGGCTAAAAAAAATTCATACAAGGAATTTGATAACGAAAAAAAATTCCTGCGGCTGGAAAATTCCCCTCCCTCCCCATAACTTTTCTAATGGTCCGTCCCTTAGGAGTTGAACTACCCTTTGAGGGTCTCAATGGGGTTAACCGTCAGCTGTCTAACGGCCTAAAAATTAACCATCAACCGTCAAAGATGCAGGTCAAGATTAACTGTTAAAAAGTTTCAAAGTATTTCGAATCTCACTAGATCAGCTGATCTCCAAGGACTAATCCGGCTCCTAGAGAATTTCTAAGCTGCAAAAACCAGTTCCCACATCCTCAAAAACACTCTTTCTAAACATTACTGAACAGTACCTTACAACCTGGTTATATCGGAAAACATTTTGAAATATTATAAATGAAAAGACCAACACAACCCTCAAAACATATCAGTTAATATTAAATCATACACAAGTTAATATTTACATCAACTTACATCGACTGGACTAAATTTCTACTTTAAAAAAAACCGTCAACCGTCAAAAGCTCTGAAATTTAACCGTCAGCCGTCAAAATTGAAAAAATTTACTGCCAACCGTCAAAGTAGCCTGTGAACAGGCCTTTGGTCCCCCCAAACAGAGAACCTGTTCACAGGCTACCGTCAAAGCTACCATTCCTTTGATACCCTCCCATTTGGCAAGGGACTCTTATGAGGCGCTATATTGTGGGACAGCTAGACCTACCAAAGGTTTCCTGAAGTGCACAGTCGCGTTCACCTTCACCCTTAGCCTTTCCTCTAGCGGTCGGAAAGTTCACTGATGAGATAGCCTTGAGCTGGTTTTGTATCCCCAAATAGCTGATCATAGCTGTAAATGGCTTTTATATCACCAAAAGAAAGCCGAAACTGTTTAATATATTTTTCATTCATTGCTCTGATATACGTTTTAAAATAAACATTTTCAGATAAGGAAAGTTCATTCACCGTTTACAATGTCATGAAGTATACTCGAAATTTAATGTTTCATTCGACGCACAAAGATTGGTATATCTGTGAAAATGCCGCAAAGAGGAAAAATATGCACAAGAATTATAACCTAGTGCTAGATTTTTACAAAGGTCAGCCAGACGTTCTTCCACGCTGTAGCTTCATAGGCGAACCACTTCCAGAAGGCGTGGATAAGCGAAAGAACTGTTATGGCGTTCTCGGACCAGTAGAAACTCCAGCGATTAGTGGGCAACCGCTCTCGCACCCGGCTGGTTTGGTCCCGCCGCCAACACCATCACCGCTCGTTGGTCTTCTAGCATGTCTGCCAGTTTGCCAAGCGACTGCTACGACTCCACTTCCTGGGATTACAAGTGCTCCTATCCCAAGCAGACGTAAGTCATTTCCGTATTTCCTTAACTCTTTTTTTTTAACGGTAATTAACTTGTGACAAATATTTAGCCTGCTTTGCAGCCGGCCCACGCACAACCTCGTTCCCACGGTTGTCTCCTACCCGCGCGAGGTTGGCCCACGCGCTCGTCTAAACCACGTTTCACACTATCACAAGCTCAATAATCGTCTCTTGTCACGAGCTATTAGTCGTGTTTGGCCTGTCATCACTCAATTCAAATCGGACTAATCACAAACCGCCAAGAAACTAGCCAATCAAAAACGCCGACATATGTCGTTACGACTCTGCGGGATTCGAACAAGGTGATTCGAACACGATATTGTACCAGCCTCCTCCCCAGGCGCTTCGTTTTTCGCATGGCAGAGGCGAGCGCGAAACGCGAGTGACTGGTGATGAACCGCAATGGACCATGGGAAGGGTACAGACAGCAGGCGAAGTTAGGCAGGCGAAGCGACGTCTCGCCCGTTGTCTCCTTCCCGCCTTCCTTTGCGCGCACATCGAAGAGAGACGTCTGGGTACGAGGCAGATATTGTACACTATAAATTCGCGTACGCTCTATACAGAAGGTTTAGAGCGTCTGCGACGCATGTGCAGGCAATAAATAGTTTACTGTTTAAAAGATATACATGCGCAGTTAGTGGATATAACCCTTTTATATCGTTTTCGTGCCAAAACACCGACACTTCAGTCGGTAATAAAAACGAGTAGCGTTGGATTATCTATAGGTATATGGAACAATTTCGTTAACTTCAGAATAGCCTGCAATTGAATGCGAAAGTAGACGGTTTCTAATCAACCTATGCCGGTGGAAGCCTAATAAAACGAACTGGACAAATAGTTGTTTCACTAAATGAGCATGTTTATCTTTTTAATGAACAACTTTCATGGTAAGAAACAATGACTAAGAGGAAGATGCAAGAAACAGACGATGTCGCAATAACGCAATTTCCGAAAGCGTTTAAGAAATTGACCATAATAACAAAGGACCAATCACCGTGGAACATCAATTTGCTACATAAACTTTTCACGGGGCTCGACACTTTCAGATTCCATTAACCTCGAGTGTTCACTAACGTCCGCCAATTCAATAAAGTTGACCTTTCAGTATAGAAGCTCCTTCTTCCTTACTTTTCCTTTCGTCCAAGTTTCTCTTGAAGGGAAAATACTTTAGACCAGCCTAGTCCCCAGGCGTTTTCGGTTCGGTCATTCCTGGACTCTACCATGCCATGAGCTGTGACGTCACCGAGAGATACTCGCAGACTTCGCGCAGACAACGGATAAAGAGAGAACGCTTAGGGGATCTTAGGGACTAGGCTAACTTAAGACGATTATTGCCCCTGCAAATATCTATCTGCAGTATCTGTGGTAACCGTTCATGAGTAGGTTGTTGCCGCCTAAAATGTGCGCAATTTCAATTTTGTTTCGGCTCCAAGCGTGGCTATAACCGCCCTTTCACTACCAGAATGAATGATGGAATCTCAAAAGATGACTCTAACTTTTGAGTCTGGATGAAATCCTATGGTGTGGCCATTCAAATGAAACCTCTTTCCCAGTATTTTATGACATGGTGCTATTTGTTTTTCAGCATTCTACAAAAGAAATTTGGAATTTTTGTCGAAATTTGACTTTGGCCACTTTTGGCGGTGAGCGGGTTAAGTCGCTTAAGCGTGTTCGCTTGACCTGTCGCTGATATGATCCTCCATCTCTACTGGATCTGTTTCATTACTTTGTGGAACGGATGTAGACTACGAGCAGTCTCTCTTTTTTCTTGGTCCGTCGAGCAAAACACCCGAGACACGCAAATAACCACGCGCGTGACTAAAGGTGCGAGACGGAAGAGACTCGACATTATATTCCTTTTTCTTCTCGGGCTGCCGCCCTCGTTTCTCGCCTCTCGCGGCTTCGCCGCTCAACGCTCACGCGCGCGTGCACTCCTCTTACAGAGAGACTGCTCGCAGTCTAGAACGAATGTATCAGTCACCATCACCAGCCCCAACGGGTTCTAAGAAGAGCATTCATGGAAATATTCACTTTTTAAGTCTTTTAATTTCAGCTGCATGCGTCACATTGAACTTCATCAACCTCTTGGGATTTCCATTTAAACTGCACTCTTCTCTTAAACACGAGGTATATCTCGTCACTGGATCTGGCTTTAAACTGAGGTTTTACATAGACCGACCAGAGCTGCACAGTCACGTGATATTTTATGCCGAAGACCCAGCTGGAAAGCGAAATGTCCTTCTGAATGGGCAGCCAAGTATTACAGAGCGGGTGGTTTCTGATTGTCCTCACTTTGTGGAGGTGTTAGTGACAGCCCAGCAAGGTTAGCAAAATATTTAGTCCTTATCTTTTAAACTGTGACAATTCAAGAGTATCTTTGCGCCAAAAATAGCTGGGAATCGCATGAAGACTTCGTATGAAGTATACCTTGCGTTCGCATTAACTGCGCAAGCAGAACTGAAGACATGGATAAAATTTAAGATTTTTCTCCTGGCTTAGCTTCACCATAACATGTTCGCCAAGTAAATAAATATACCTAGTGTAAGAAAGGTTTTTCGTCTTCACAGGTCCTAGTCCTGCCAATGCTTTAAAGCCTACACCAGCACCACCACCTCCTCCACCACCGCCACAAGCAGCACCCCCACCACCTCATCCGCCACCTCTGCCGCCGCTACCACCAGCAGCACCTTCACCACCAGCATCACCACCTCCTCCACAGCCGCCACTGCAGACAACAGTTGCACCTCCACAGACTCCACCACCAGCACCACCACCACCACAAGCAGCACCCCCACCACCACCATCACCAGCAGCAACACCAACACCACCACCACATCCACCACCGCCACAAGCAGCACCCCCACCATCGACTCCACCTCCACCCCCACAGTCACCGCCGACAACAACAGCACCTCCACAGACTCCACCACCGGCGCCGTCAGAAGCAGCCCCTTCACCACCTTTTTCACCACCAACACCTCCATCACCGCCCGCCCAAGCTCCATCAGCAGGTCGGTTACCTTCAATTTATTCAAAGCTTTCTCTAGTCAAACAACTCCGTTTTTCCAAAGTTTTCAGTCAGTTCGTAAATGAAATGCTACTTGATGATGACTTTTTTTCCTTTTATCTTACGATGGGTACTGATCTACAGCCCCAGCTTAAGACGAGAACTTAATCAGTATCAAATTTTTCACGGTTACGAAGGCAGGCGTTGTCAATTAAGGATACGTTGACATAGCCTAAACGGTAAACTCATAACGTATCACGCTTTTAAGTTTTCCCTGAATAAGCTAGCATTAAGGATCAATTAACAGGTAGTGGTTATTGAAGAAACACGGTTCGGGTACTATCCGTCCAACATAGAAAAGTGACTACAAACCAAATTCCATTTAACCCCATGCCACACGCAGACGGAAACAGATAGTAAGAGGCTAATATAAGAAAAGATTCTAATCAGTAAAATTTCATTTAACAGAAAATGCGTCAGTTCACTACCACTACCACTACTATGAAAAAGTGGTACCCACGTTGGAACGAGGTAATTTATTTTCTTCATATAGGGTCAGCGTTATTTGAACTTAGTCAAAATTTACTCGGATAGATACAAACATCAAACAATGGAAGAAGCTGCACACCACGGTGGTACATTTTTATCTTTTATGATTCCCCGTGGAAAAATGCAGTTTTCCTATTTCGGGCATGTGCGGAGGCCAAATATTGCTTTCTCGTACATTTCCCACTATTTCTCCGCTGACAGGTCAAGAAGTACTAGTGGGTAGTAATACAAGATTTCCATTGACATTTTCAATCAAATTGATTATGTCTGCCGGTATAACCGTGGCCCGTTGGTTCAAATCGTTCTCATTCAGACGTGAGTCTCTATCTTTTAGTAGAGTAATTTAGGAAAAAACCGTTGACGTCTCAAACTGCACAAGGGACGTGATTTGACACGGGCGGCTGCGGCGTTTATTATAAAGTGCGTATGGATTGGGTTCAGGAATCTAGCACTGGTTAAAAACAAGCGAAAACTGTAAAAATATTTTTAAAGTGCAATTCAATTACATGTATTTGGGAGTTAAAGAATTATAAATGCTTTTTAAATCAAATATAATTTACTCATATCCTTTTTGCTATTGTGTATTTGTAGGTTGTCCAAGCCGCTGTACTGGGTCAGCGGATTGTCATCCCACTTGTCCAGTGCGTTGTTGCAGGCAAGATTTGGATGAATACATGGATGATGATTGGGACGACCCAATGACATTGAAACGAGATAAACTTTTTAATTAAAAGAGAATGTTAGCATTGCAGTTTTTTAACCTCTTAATAGTGAAGAACCGGATACTAAGTTAATTTGGTAATATGTAGCTCCTGCTGACAATCAGGAATCTCAGTTCCTCCCAGGAATCTGGAACAACAAGCTTTTTCCGATTCTTATTTTCATAGGTTGAGGGCGAATAAATTAAAATAATAACTAAATTAAATTAATATGATTATTATTATTAATATGATTATCAGTTTACTGAGAGTCCTTAACACTTTACTGTTTCCTTGTAACTTGTCTCACAACCCGTCCACTCCCGGCCGTTAATTGCGACACTATTTGCAGAATAATCGCCTTGCGTAACAGATCCTTGAAGACCAGTTAACGCCGTCAGAGTGATCAAATCCTCTTTGTATTCTGCCCTTGTCAAAATTAGATTATGACGTCAATATTACCTTCAGTTACCTTTGCACCAATAGTTAGTTAGTTAGTCTGTTCGAGCGCTAGTTCGGACAACGTGGATTTTCCGATCCTCCACAGCCAACCTCGGACGAGGTTGCTCCCCAGTCACTTTGGTCTAGCATTGCCATTCCGAGTTCTCCGATAATGGCGAACCCAGTGTGCTCAAGCAGGGGCACCAATATGAATATTCAAACCTGTTAACATGAACACTGGATTATTGAAAAAAGCCCACTTCATTTGCTTTGGCCACTCAGTAGCTGTAGCGGTTTTAATAAAGAGCATGCTGTATACGTAGGTAATCTACGAAAGGCGACTTCGCTCTATGCCCCCTCAGCCCTGTGATCCTTTTACCCACTGCACCCGCTGTATCACAGGGCGCGACGTCTTCTCACGGCAATACCGACCTGATGCAGCAGGCGGATGGCCTTCATACAGGAAGACGCACTGATGCAGTGGAAAATTCACATTGTGGATGAGATTTCAGATTTGCCTTTAACATTCTTATCGTACTGTCATACCATTCATTTTTTAAGTTCTATTGAAATTTGTTTGCTTTTTCTTACGCCCATTACTGCAAACTTGTTGAAAGCCATTGATAAGAATCTGGTGACCACCAATGTTGCACACATTTTCTTAGTAGATAGTGTCGCGCGCGGTTTTCCATGATTATGAAAACTAAGCTCTCCTTGTCTATTATAGGTCATTAGCCACTTCTTTTGCATTCCTGTGCATGCTGTCTGTTTGTTTCATCGCGAAACGACGTTTTCTAATTGTGTGACCATAATTAAACAAGGCCAGAAGCCTATCACCCCAGGCTCCAGATCGACACGCCAAATTAACAATGTTCCTTTATCTTCTTTTTCAACCATTTAGCTAGCTTAGCGAGGAAGGAAAAAATATGAGAGGAATAACTTCGAATTCAATCCACAGAAGATCAGAAAAAAATGCTCGCGCTGTACAATATGGACAGATTCGCGTATTTGCAGCCCGCAACCGTCTTGGACAAAATCCACTTTCGGGTCTCTAAGTATTTGTTTATTGTATCTATGGTAATTAAAGGTGCTATTTGCAAAAACTTCTTTTATATTACTAACAAAGGAATTCCGTTGGTGCAAAGCCAATGACCCTATTAATCTTATGCTATCTTTAAAGCACGTAGAACTCGTTCGCTAGAAAGCCGGTAAGTGATTCCGCACTGCAATGATATAACTCCCTATTGCAAAAAATAGAGGCACGTGAATCGAAGATTTTTTTACATCCATTGTGATGATGCACTTTCATTAGGAACTGATTGACAATTTCCTCGTGTTTGCGGAACAGAAACAAAGCGTCTGTTTGCTTGTATCGCCGTCAATGATCTGAGCTACACAAAGGAACTCACTAAGCGTCACAATGTTTAAACAAGTCCGCCACAAGTTGAGTCATTCGCATAAGCAGACTTCAGTAGAGCTCGTAGATCCGCCCAACGGATTCAGCGAAATTCATGCCATGGAAAACAAGGCTGAAGCCCAAACTCCTGAGTAAGTGATTATTATTTGTGGTTATATAGCATATACTAAAGGTGAATTTATTTGTCCTCCTGGAAGTAATCAAATATATGCTGTATGCATGCAGGATATTGTGGCGAAATCAGTAATCAATCCTTAAATAGGGTATATAAATTGTCGTCATCAACCAATCTACGATTTCAGACTGTTTTGTAACGGTTGACAAAGTTTGCGAACTACAGCTGTTTAAATGTAAGTAAGTGTCTATATCTCATGATCAGCAAAAGATTGTTGCAAACGGATTGAAGCTCGTCAGCAAACCGAGCATCTTTTAAAAAAGCGATGCCGTTTACAAATCATAACTTCGTATCACTTATGCAATTCAAACACGTAGAGCCTTGCGAAGGCTACCGCACTGATCACGGGTCACATGCATTCCCAGTGACAGCCTTGAGGCGCATTCTTAGGAGGTCCAATTTTAGTCACCTATTACACTGTTATTACAAGACAGCTTCTACCAGCTTATTTATTACGACACTACGCAACTCAGCTTTCACCGAAGATGGTACGAAGTACGCGAACAGTCTCGGCAAGGATAGGAGTGATAACCTAATTCGAATATATGGGGGTGGGGGTTGAGAATGGAGTGTTCCCTCATTTTAGGATACGTATGATCCGCACTGGACATTCTCAATAGCTGTGTCTCAAACTCTGACCTTGTTTAAGAGGACAAAAAGCTTTAACTTTTCTCCCTTTTAAAGTCCCGACAATGAAAAAGAGCATCATATGTACGTAAGGGAACTCGATTGACGCAAAATTGTGTGAACAAGTGTTTTGTTTATGGACTGACCCCCCTTCAAAAACGCCGGAGAGGATTCTATAGTAACTCGTAGTTGAATAGTTTTCTTAATTCGAGTTTCATTCTCAGAGAGTTCTACTTTAGGTTTTCGAAAGGGATTTGTTGTTTTATGACTGAGCACATCAAAAATTATATACGCTATCAGGCTTTACGGTGCCCTTACATAATCGAAAGAGGCCGACTCGGGAGGTTACTCCCTGTATAATCCCCTATAATAGGTAGCTCTGCCCGAAAGGTGTACCTATTTCAAGCTTCAGGTATAAGAGAGGGTACGAGGCTTTCACTAGTTGAGGTATGTGAAAGGGCGGGGAAATCTTTCATTGTGTTCCGATCTGTGAAAGGACCTAAGAGCTAACGGGAGCATTTAAATGGCTGCGGAAAAGACAAGAAAACTTTTGGTTTAGTGATTTATATTGATATTTTTGCAGTGTTCTACACTAGTATGTGAAAGGGGTACCATATTTGTCAATAACTGAGGTATACGATTTGGCTGGCTTTACTGTTATAAATGGTATATAAAAAGGTAAGCGGTTGACCCTCTGTGCGGAGCCTCGCGTACACAACATTGTTGATTACCCCCCCCCCCCCCCCCCCCCCCCCCCACCCCCACCCCCCAGCCCGCCCCCAAAAATTACCTTTTTTTGCTTTGTCTAATACATATATTTTTGCGTGTAAAAAAAAACACACACCCCAACCACCTCACAATACTACAAAACAAAAAACAGAAGTTTGAAAGGGCGAGTCTCTATCATTGAGTAAGCGCAGTATTATTGTTTGTGTTGTTTTTTTCAAAAATGTGTTAAAAAAAAGGAACGCGTTGCCCCCTCCTTGGGGCTCCTCCTCACCAAAACTGTTGTTTGCCCCCCCCCCCCCCCCCCCCACACACACACACACACCCCGGAGGACGCCAAGAATGTATCGCTTGTTACTAGTTCTAGTAACTGATTTTGGCCGGATGAAATAAACTCAAACCTGGCTCAACGCGTATCAATACTGAAAACGAAGCGAGTGTGTAAACATACTTTAAGACTCTACAGTCAAATGTGAAGCATCGAAAACTTGTTTGGGAACAACAACGAGTCTATAGCTTTTCAGGTGTTAGTCAAGAAGAGAAGCGCCAAACGGCTGATCTTTTTTTGACCTTTTTCTAACAGAAATCTTTTGAAGTTGCTCCTTACTTTAGTAAGCTTAACATTTTCTTTGGAAGACAGTATGACTGAGGGGTACGGTGTGGGCGGAGCATCCCTGCACCCTAATGAAGTGCACAGCAGTAACTGACTTAAGAGCAAAATACATTTCACGATGCATTTTATGCTAGCAGGTTTGCTTTTATTTCATTTTTTTTCAAGTTAAGATGACCTCGATACCGTGGGTTCCCCTTTCCGCGGGTAAGTTGAAAAGAAGTCGGTCGAGAACAGGTTATGGGCTCCTGTCGGAAATCGAAATCATGTGCTAGCTGTGAAAAATTGCCATTTTCTTGTTTACAGATCCCCAGTAAAATTCGGACATAATTTTCAAATTGCGGCGTCACGGTCTTTATTATTACGTTTTTAGATCCTTCTTGTTTACTAAATAACTTAACGGCTGGTTAACCGCATGCACCGACGAATTGTTACGTAACCAGATTTAAAAATAGAAGATTTGACAAACCGGGTCTAAATACAGTACCCGGAAAACCATCCTAAACAGCATATATTTCAATCTACTGCTGAAGTGTTTCTCATTTGGATACTCTGAAATCTAAGGGGTTCTTTATGTACATAAATCTCGAAACTTTGTTGCTCGAAAATAATGAAATTGAATGATATTTCAGTTACAGCCAGCTGTGCAGCTGATCGTGCAGTAAAAACCCGCATATAGGACCCTAGAATTTTCGATGTCAGGCTGAACAGTTTCTTATATTTTATGTTAGTTTTTCACAATTCAGGCTGATTAGGTTCTTAATAGGTTCTTATTTTTCAGAGGTTGTTGTAGTGTAACCATTGGCAGAAATATTGTAATAGTTTGGCACTTGTATTTTCAACAAAAAAATGCTTGCATACACAAAAAAACATTTTGGGCTATGTACGTATTAAATTATGCACTGTAGCTTTATGGAAAACATATTTCTAGGGAAAATCCAAACAAATGATTAAATTCAAGGAAAACATATCATAGTAACTTTTTGTCACAAGTTTCGTTCTCACACAGTACAATTAAAATCCAAAATTTTGACTTTCAAAATTTGAGTCCTTTTTTTGTACGTGAAAAGCTATTTTTCTTTGCCAGGCTGAACAGGTTCTTATATTCTTGGGTATTCAAATACCAAATTTCAGCCTGAAGGTTCTTAAATCATGAGGTTCTTATATGCGGGTTTTTACCGCTGTATTAGTTCCGAAAAGCTACGATACAATTACATTTCCATCGGTCGCATCATGTACGTATGAGGAAATCTAATCCAATCGGCCAGGTTACCAAGACTCTCGGACAAGTGAAGTGTGAAACACAAACGATCGATGTGCAGTCTTGAGTAAACTCCTCAGTCGCATATTTATTTAGTAGAAATAGCATCCTTGTCCATGGGGTAAAACTTTTTGACTTTGTGGATGCGATTTTAATCGTAATGAGACCATTTTTTGATTTCTAATTAATGTATTTCTCTGCAGGGAACAGCCGGTTTTCTCGACCCGAGCTCACGTCTTCCAGATCGACCCTGCTACGAAGAAAAGCTGGCTTCCTTGCTCAAAGCAAGCTGTCACCGTGTCTTTCTATTATGACCCGAACAAGGAGACACATCGCATAATATCGGTTGATGGTTCAAAGGTATGAAAGACTCTTTTTAAGATTTATAACACGCACATTCGAGCTGTATACGTAGCTGACGTTTCTTGATAATATTTATATCCGCTTCGTAGTTGATTTCAACACATAAACTTAATCAAGTTCAAGCTTTTATGCTAATCCTAGAATGTTTATCTTGTCTGCTTCGTTCTTAAGAGGCCTAAATCTACGGAGAAACAGTGCTACAGATCGCTAATTAACGAAATAATAACGAAAGGAAGTTTCTGTTTATATCGGGTTATTCTTTCCTGTCAGAGCGCTTATACGAAGCAACATAACAGAGTCGCGGCTTCCAGCAAATTTTACAACCATCAGTTTTGATAAAGCTGTTTTGTTTTGAATTAAAAAACACAGGCATTGAACCTAACACTGGTTTTAGTCCAATTGTAGGTAAAGTCTCATTTATATTAACCTTTATATCCGAGCAATAGTATAAGCTTACGAAGCTATAGATATATTCAGCGCATTCCCACAGTCAAGTGATATTGACAACGAGCGAGCGAAATGTACAATTGTTGTGCACGTTTTTTCCACACTGCTTTCGGCAGATAAAACCTATCTGGCCGGCTGAAAATGTGCTTTGTTGTTAAAATTTAAAATGGCGATAATTGCTAACCGTGAAATTATTAATAAATAAGTGTTCGTCGAAGCGTTAGGCAAATTTAAAATTTATCATCCCATACAAGATTATCAAGATTATTGTTCTCAGATCCAGTCCAAAAAGACTTAAAGTGTCATTTCTGTTAACGATTTAGTTAACGATTTAGTTTCAACTCTTTCAGCTCAATTTATATTTCAACAAATAATTTTAAGAGTTAAATACAGATGAATATTTTGCCACATTCCCTGGCCAGCAATATCTTAAATTATCAACAAAATTGTCCTTCCTTTTATGAGGGTGCAATGAATTTAACTGGGGCCACTAACACTTGAAATTTAAATACCTGTTCTCGTTTTTGATGGTCTAAGATACTATTCCAAAGTCATGCAGACACTTGTATGTGATCCTGACCTGTGATTGGCTGTTTAGGACTTGGGGCACCCCTAGTTGAGTTCTCTGTACTGTAACACATACCCTCAACAAACAAATCAAACATTTAAGCAAATATGACTATTGCTGTTTCTAACTTTTGTTGTGTTAAATTTATTCTCAAATAGAAAAGTTTCACTTTGATTGGTGTAAGATGTGCTTTGTAAAATAATTATGATACTTGGAGGAGCTCATAACCCTTGTCCTCTTAACAGGAAATGCTGTGTTTATTAAACTTCTGCTACCTAAGGGCTTTAACAGTGCTCTTGAGGAAAATGAATAGATACTTAATTTTTGTGGCTACAGGTGTCCTACTTGCTGGAGACAAAAAACAGGAATAAGCAATACTAACTCCAGCAGTCTACCTTTGTGCTGGTAACAAAAAAATGTGTGGTCTTCCGTATTTAAAAACTACACAGCTAGTAAGCTTGAGTGAACTTTTTCCGACAGGCCATTGTTAATAGCACCATACTACCAAACATGACATTTACCAAGACATCCCAGAAGTTTGGTCAGTGGTCAGATGCACGGGCTAACACTGTCTTTGGCTTAGGATTTCCCTCTGAAGTTGAATTAAACAAGGTTTGTAAAGCATGCTGACATTTTAAATTAAATTTGTTCTACACTTTTAGTAGGGACAGGTACTCAATTTAAATATAACATTTCTACGTCACTATCTTGTCAAGGTGAATCAACAGTTAAACACAGGCACTTAGTCGACGCAATAAAACATAGAAATATTTACTCAACTGTTCTCAATGCAAAAAACTAAAAGATACATCTGTTCATTCCTCATTGTCACGTGCTCATTCAACTGTCAATCAAGATTGCACCCAAAACCGAAAGCAGAGGCACAATCTTGTACCACTCTATATTTTGTGGTTCAGTTCTATGCTATTTTTCTTTTGCTTTTAACTCCCTAACATAATCTTTAACATGTAAGACTTGTAATAAACAAAGATTGCAGAGTGTGATCCCAGACTGTTTCTCCTTTGGCAAGTTTCTGATGATGCCCTTCACCCCTGCAGAATAAAAAGGGATTCCAGATACATGCTTTATCCCATACAATCTCCCTCCACTCCGCACAAAGATGCAATGATAAAAAAATTGAAACAGTCAGACAGTATATTATGTACAGTTGACTTGTGACAAAAAGGTACCCTTGAAATGTGTCTTATGATGACATGATTGAAGCAATCCTATGATATGAACATTTGAATTAAACCACTTTGGAAGAATAGAGTGTTCATTAGGCATTGGAGATCGTAGATTTCTCCGTTTATTACCCAGAATTCTCCAGCTAATGGTTGGTAGCCTTTAAATATTTTTTATTCAGACGTGGAACCTCTTTCTCTTACACGATGTTACACCTTTGTCTTGCTACTGGAATTTGTAATGAAAACCCTGAGCATATGCATGGTAGCTAGGTTATTGATTGATTCATTGACTTGACTTAGTTGAGCGTAGTGAAACCCAGTGTGATTTCTATAGTGGAAGATCTATTTCACATATGGCCTGTATTCAGTTTGCAGACAAATTCAAGGAAGCCAAAGGCTCTATCAGAGCAACTGGTAGTACGGGCAGTACAACATCCTCTTCATCAGCTACTGGTGTGACTGTTAACGGCACATCAAGTGGAGTGGTGAATGGAACGGCAGAGTCACCTCAGGGTACACCTAATGCTGCACATAAAACAGCTTCTGTAAGAAGCAACTCATCTGCAAGTAGTGGGGAGGTAAGCACTATAGCTGGTCATACTGGGCCGTTTCTGGGTTGCCTCAAGCCTCTCTTTAAGCGAGTCTAAGTGCAAAGCCACTGATATGAAAATGTTTTTTTTTTATTTTCATGGAAATAGTATCTTTTTAACATAAGGTTTCTGCCCTTAGTCTCATTTTAAAAGTGAGAGGTTTTGGAACCCAGAAGTGGCATGCAAATGCAGGAGTGCTAACATTGGCTATTATAAATTAGTAAAATCCAACTAGTGGTCTATTATCAATGCTGCATTCTGATTGGTTGAGCTACTACTAGGCTATATGTTATAACCCCCTAGTAGCAAAAAGCGCGGGCTTTTTGGCGGCAAAAAAGGATTAAAGTCTAGCTTTAACTAGCTAAAATTTTTTTATTCTCGATATTTTTGACCAGCTAGTTGGATTTTACTAAAACAATATTATTCCTCTCGCCCTTCATGGCCTCGGAGTCAATAGCCCATGAGACCAAAGTATAGTTTAGTCCCTGTGCTTGTTGAGTTCAGGAACATAATTTTCTATTTCTTAAGAATTAATCTTTAAGGGTTCCCTATTCCTATTTCTGCAAAAACTTGTGATTGGGTTGCATGATATTATGCTGGATCTTAAGGTTTCCTCATTTGTCCAAAAATTTATTCTAAACAACCAAATTAGACACCTGAGTTCATCTAAGCCACTTCCAATGGAGGTATCAACAAAACTGCTGTTACTAAAACAGTATTTAATATTGTTAGTGGTTAGCCAAGCAACAAGCTGTAAACTTATTTAATTGATCATTTAAAGTTTTTATTTATGACATATGTAGTACTATGTTGTGTAAATACTCTCAGCATTGTTTATAGCTTATATTTATAGTCTGTTTGTATAAATAACCTTTTTCACTTTTTCTGGGTATGAGTTGTGTTTGGTTGTTTAATAAATATTGTTATTAATTTCTAACTTTAAATCTGAGGACAAAATCCCTTAGTTTCATGCCTTCATGTGGTCCTGTTTGTCTTATCTTTTATTTGTATGGTGAAATCTTGAAATTTTTTGAATAACAAAAAAAGTTTTTTCTTATTTTAGCCACCCCCCAAATAAAAGAACTACATTTACATAGCTGCAGGCTTGATCAGCTATTTTGATATTATTTTTAACAGATAACTGATTATATTTATGTTGTTGAAACAATAGCTTTGACACAAATTTATTGCTTTATGACATTTTTTTGACCACAATAGTTAATTGAACATGCAAATTTCTTTGCCTCAACTTACTGCACTTTGATATTTCATTCAGTATACACATTTTCCATTTTGTATTATCAATATTGGCCTCCTTCATCTACCTTGTTTACAAATGGAACATTTAGGCAGAAGAATATCTCTACCAGCTTCATTCAAAATGACAGCTCCTTTCATGGTATAAGCAAATTTAAAATTTAATGTCTTATTGACTTGACTTATTGTATTTTACCACTTTTCTTTTTTAAATAATGAGTCACTCTGTTTCCTGTATAATTTCAAGTTAATGATAATACGTACAGTAGAACCTCGATAACTCGAACTTGGATAACCTGAATTCCCCGCTAACTGGAATTAAACTTCCTCTCCCTTGAGCAAAATTTCACTGAAATTTACCCCAATAACATGCATTCCTTGCTATAAACTCAAACTGTTTTTCCTTTCCCTTCAAAGTTCGAGTTACCAGGGTTCTACTGTATGTGTTTATGTTGTAGGTAAAATCCGTTCTTTGGTAAGGTTAAACCTGTATTCAACCTATAAAGGTTGACTTCCAACTTGCAGGTTTCTAACCTTAGTAATCTGCCCTGAATGCTGATTTAACCTGAAAAGGCCTTCTACCACAACATGGGTTTTCTGAACTTAAGAAGATTTTGTTTTAATTATGGGACAGAATATCATTTTCATTACTTGCAAATTCTTATTATTTACCAGTTCATAATCTCTTGTTTAAAGTTTTGTCAACATGAATTTAGCTGGCTTAGTTAATAACAACATCGACGACAACAACAATAGATAATTATGACCTCTTGAGCTTGTATAATTTTGTTTTCCCAATGTTGGTCATTTGACGTCCCCAAGGGAATTAATTCTTTGTTTTCTCATGAATTATACATACATACATATGCATGTGAGTAAGAGGAAATTTAAAAGAAATAGCTCTCTTGAGTAACCTTTATGACCTACATTGGGAGAACAAGCCATACAAGAGGGAAACTGTGGTCAACTCAATTTTATAACAATATTTAAATCTCCAGGATGAAACAAGAGAGACGACTGGAATCAGCCATAAAGTAGTTGGAAACACAGAATCGCACCTGAAATACGAAAATGATAGACTCAAGATGGCGTTAGCCCAAAGGTATAGGAAAATTTAAAAACTTTGAATCTCAAATTTCTTTAAAAATTAAAACATTTTGGGTTTAGATCAGTGCAAGTTCATTTTTGGTTGTGATTGGTCTTTGGTCATTGTTACTAAATTTTGCTCACTTTTAATTTTGCAACATTCCACTGAGCTGGTGACCTCCTCTAACTCTGACTTTTTAGTTTAACTAGATGGTAGGCACGTTTATGACTGCCTCTGACTCTGTTGCTGATTAAAACAAGCCTTTGGCCCATTTTCACCCGCCCCCCCCCCCCCTCCCCCCTTAATAGTGAATGTCTCTCATTTTAAATTTTCATGGATGCTTTTCTTGCTTGTCTTTGATTTTTGAAAAGTATGTCATGCAAAATTAGGCTCAATAAGGTATTAATTGTGTCTTGTCTTTTTGACAGCTCTGCTAATGCTAAAAAGTGGGAGACAGAACTGCAGACACTGAAAAATAATAATGCCAGACTAACAGCTGCATTACAGGAGAGCACAACAAATGTGGAGGAGTGGAAAAAACAACTGAATGCCTATAAGGAAGAGAATATTAAACTTAGAAAAAAGGTGCATGCTTGCAGAAAAAATACTTTAAATTAATAATTTTTGTAATAATTGATTTTTATTACTGACATGTTTATTTATTTATTTGTTATTCATTGTTTTGTAGCATTTTAGTGGATGAAATTTTGTTGCAAAATTGCATTGGGAATAAATGTACATTTCTTTCTCACCTCATTTCACATTAAAGTCTTCTAACCAAAGAAAATCGCACATTGCAGTGACACAAAAATGATATTTAATCCCTGTCGTAATTAACCTCATTATACTTTTTCTTTTAGGTCCAAGAAATAGAATCATCAGACCAAGTATCAGATACATTAAATGCGCTTCAGCAAGAGAAGCTCACCCTGGATGGACGAGTGATTCAGCTTGAGAGCATGATAAGACAGAAAGATGAGGTCAGCTGGAAATTCAAGCTAATGTTTCTTTGGAGTTTATATATTGTTTTCAAGGAATTCAAAATATTAAACAATGCTCGCTTTGGCTGGAGACAGGGTGGGGTATCTTTGCCTTTAAAAAGACTGTGAAACATTACTGTGGTTTGATTTATAAACTCCACTGCTAAGGATTTTATCTCTCATAGTTGATAACTAGCTTCTGGACTTTCTATATTTGGTTCCCTTTAAGTTCTTACACTCATTAACAAAACAACGATTATCATGTAATGTCGTTAATTTTTTTATCTCAGGTAATTTTTATTTTTCCATTGTTTTTGGGTGTGGTAATTGTGTGCTAATTCATTCGAAACAAAGGAAAGACAAAAATTTCCTGAAATAAAAATTAACTGCAACATACAGCTGTATAAAATCATCACATCCAACCAAACCAGTAATAATGTTATTTTTGGGTGGGATGGCACATCACCATTAGCAAAGGATGTTGTTATTAAATCTCATTTTCCTCTGGTCTTGTCCTTGTCTTTTCAGTCTTTTCTGTGTGACTGCACTATTTATAACAAGGGCTAAAAAGTCATATATAGAGATCACAAGAAATACTGGCCTACATTTTTGGCTTTTTCTCCGTGTCCCCTCAGTCTTCAACATCAGTGTCAAAACCTTTCTATTCTATTACAGATACCTTTGCACCTGAAACCCTTAACTACATAATATCAACACACAGGATGGTATTTTTTTCCTAATTCTAGCATGTTTTCTTTTTAGGATAATACCAATTTAAGACAAGCAAATGCTGAACTTACAAATCAGAATCAGGTTGGTGGTAAACTGTTATCCCAAGTACTTAGTGTAATGGTAAAGGGGCACAAGAGCCAAAGGCCCAAACAGCCAGAGCTTATCCTGGTTTCCTTAGCATGAAGCAAAATTGCCTTGTAAGAGTATTGCTAGTCTCCCATGGCCGCTTGCTAGTACATCGCAGGGTCAGACAATACCCCAGTATGTTGCCCATACCCATTTATACACCTGGGTGAAGAGAGAGAAAGATTGAAGTTCCTTGTCTAAGAAAACGACAAGACGGCGAGGCTTGAATCCCGGACCACCAGATCTAGGTGTTTAAAACCACTCTGCCGCACATGCCTCCACAGTGCTCAGTGTGCTGTGGTTTATATAGTTTTACATGTTTTTACAGCTTTACGCATCATTTACCTACTATTCCAAATTTCAATTGCAAGGTCTGAAATACCAAATGATACCATGTGACTGTACTACAAAAGAACTTTACTTGAATGAAAACACCTCATTCATACTCGGCGAGGAGCAGTGAACCCTGGTCAGGGCTATCACCTTCAATTTATGACACAATTTTGCAGTCTCATCAAAATGAGGCTGGAAATTAGAGCAAATGTCACTGATGAAGAGATCTTGAAAAGATCTTGGAAGCTCTGTGTAACTAAGAATTTGTTGCTGTTGGAGAATATTTCTTTGCAGCACTAAAGGATAAACATAATGTGATATTTCATCTTCAGATTCAAAAGTTGAAGTCATTTATTATAGCAAATCTCCTCCCCATTCATTTTCATTCAGACAAGGAATGAAAGAGGGTAATGCCTATTTATTATTTATGCAGGGAGTTGTGTTTAAAATGTGTAGTTGAAGTTAACAGCAGCATTGTTTTTTAGACCCTGCAAGTGGAAAATGATAGAATGCATTTAAAAACAGAGGAGCTGATGTCTCAGTTGAACAAGAATGCTTTGGATGAATCTCGTGTGAATGAGCTCAATGAACTCCAACAACTACTGGCTGGGAAGATTGATGAGCTTAATTCTCTCAGCGTAAGTTTAGCAGCAACCTTGCAAGGGAAGCCGCCTGAATTGGATAATAGCTGAATTGAAATTTGAAACATTCCATCTTTGATTTGAAACTCCTGCCAGCAGCTTCAGGAGAGAAAATTTAATTTATTCAAATGACCGCATCATATAAACATCAGAAATTATCAAGTAGAATCATTTAACCAGATATGAACTTTAATTGTTTATTGTGCCATTTATGGTAAATGGAATGGAGTTGACACAAAATAGTTGCACTAGGTGTACTGAAATGTACTTTAGAAATGAAGTCTTGAGTGCTAATTTAGTTCATTTTAGAAGTTCATCATTCCAGCAGGCAAGATTTTTTTAATCATTAAAAAAGGGAAAAGCCAGCAGACAGTCTGACTATTTTTTAATACATATTCCAATTTCTTTTAAAATAGCATCTTGTCTCTTGACTGACAGAATTGCAGTTATTTTTCTCAGTGAAAGATAGAATATACTGTTCATTAAACTGCAAACTCGACAAGCCAATGCCTTTAACTTTTTTGTCAATTGTTATTGAAATATGTTGAAACAAAAAAAAAAAAAAGATTGTCTGAATAGGATTTAAGGATTGTTTGCCTTTTAGAAGCCCATAAAAGCGGTCTTAGTGGTCTTATTTTGCTGGGGCCAGTTGTTCGAAGGCCAATTAGTGCTAACTTGGGTTTAAATTTTTACCCGGGTTTCTGTTTCCTTAGTTCAAAATCATTTTCTCGGATAATGTTCTTTACTCTTTTTTAGAGTATCCAATCTTTAAATTGAAGACAAAAAGAATTGAACTCAGTTTGCTCTTTATGCTTCCATATCTGAATTTAAATTTTGCACTAACCTTGGGTTACCTTGGAACAACCCCACCCTGGATAATAATAATGTCAAATGTACTTGCTAACAAATTCTTTATGCAGTTAATGAAAAATTCCTTTCGATCTTTTGTCAAATAATAAGTAAAATTTGAAAAGCAAGGATTTTATTACGTGCTGTTATTGTTTTTTTTTTTTTCTACTCATTTTACAAATGAAACTACTCATGATTCAGAGATTTGTTACTTGGTTCGTCTATTAGAATAAAAACATGTCTTAGACATGTTAGTTGTGCCAATACTACAATATAATACAAAGTGTGAAATTGTAATGTTTGCATAGTTTTATAAAGAGTGATTTTCATTGGCCAAATTTACTAATAAAAATTGTATATTAGAACAGTATAAATTATTTGTGGAATGTTCGATACTTTGTAGATATATACATGCTATGTAACCCACTAACCTTAATATATTAACATAACCGTAATAATTGATAAAAGTGTGGAAGCGATGTAACGAAGCATTTTTGTAGTCAACAAGAGAATGAATAAAACCCCTTTAGCATACCAAGGGTTCTAATGGTATGTAAACAGCCGAAGACATCAAACAGAATGTAATAAAATAAACATTATTTTATTTTGTTTATCTTTCTCATTTTAGTTGCCTTTTTTATCAAGTAACGTAGTGTCTTGTGAGAGCTCATTATTTAAATTTTACTTTTCTATTGTATAATACTTACCTTTTGCTTGTTGGTCCCCGATATGTTTTACAGTTTAAGTATACAATTATTACCTTCATATAGTGACCCAGAAAGGTGCTGAAGATGCTTTCGGGACTAAGAAGACAAGATTGTTTTATTTTTTTCCTCAATTAGTCCTTTTGTCTTGTCTTGATCCTCTTGTTATTTTTCTAGTAATTTTATCAGAAGGTAGAAACAAGTTCTTTCAAGGTCTCCACTCCACTATTCTGTCTCGGCTTAGTAAGAACTTGTACACAGTAGAGCGACTACAGACGCTAAGGTAAAAGACAGGGTTGTCGTTTCTTCAATTCAAAATTGTTGTTTTCGTATTATTAAGTCAGTAGATCATGTGGTCGCAGGCGATGAGAAGTAAGTACAGGCCAGGTAGATATAACCATACTTCGCTCCATTCCCATGATACCTTTCTCTGTCTCACGTGGGGGTTTTCTCTGAGGAAGAGGTGTCTAACTTATCGTCTTCTTGTTATGTATCATGGTCTTTTTAAATGAGCTGTGAGCTGTCCTTTATGGGTCCTCAACGAATACTTCAAGCCCGTTTCCATTTATAAACCCAGTTTGACGCAAAAGGTAACCTTTTATCAAAAATGGTCCGCCTTTCACATGCTTTGGCTGGCACTTATCAATTAGAATATCCGAAAATTGTGCGAAGGGAAAATAACAGTTAACTTTAGCTGAAACAAGTGATAAAACTTGGACCAAATCTTGGGGAAATAGCTTTTTGTTCAAGTTCCTATGGAGTTACAAAGTGAGGCTCAACAGTTTAGCCCGGGGATGCTACTGGGAATTTTTGGTGAGAGTGTGCCGCCCGGTTCTCCAAATCCTGACCCTGTTTCAGACCAAAAAATGTCATTTTCCACACCCGTTTTCTGGCCTCTAAAATCTATACCAGTTCTCAGACCCGGCCCCAGTTGTTCAAAAGTTGGATAGCGCTATCCACCGGATAATTCCCTATCCAACGGAGAAGTATTTGGGAAACCAATTGCGGTATCCACTGCCGGATAGAGATTTATCCATCGGATAGCGCTACATACCTTTTGAACAACTGGGGCCTGGCCTCTAGGAAATTAGAATTATGTCATGAACGCCAACAAAAAGTCTTGAAATCCATTTCGACTTCGCATAATACTCTTTCTTCCTTATTCATTTGGAATTGAAATGACAAATAAGTTCATATACTCCCCTTGTTCCCTTGAAAACCATACTCGATTTCGAGACCAAAATGGGCAAAGTCTGTACCTGTTATAGGCCTAAAAACCATACCCTTTGGGACGGCACATACCTTATATGGCTAGTAGCCCCAGCGGAGATGGGCAGTTCGGCAACTATCAAAAAACATGCTCCATCTACCTGAGAAGTGACAAGAATTCAGTGAACTGAGCACAGACAACACATGCGACAAGAGAAGTAAAACTTGTATTAATGGGGTAAGCGTTGGAACGATCAGGATCAGTGATCCGAGATCCAAGATCACTCGAATAATACCGATGAATCCTTGTCCAGGGGGGAATTAGTAGCCTCCCTGTACAACACAGACGTTTTTAGGGCTTCGTCACGTGTTGCTTCGTGGATCACTCCAAAGCAACGTACCGTTAGTGACACGCGGTTCACCGACACACCAGGTGACAGGGGCAACCAACTGCAACGACCTTTTTCTGTACTGTTCGAACGAGCAAAATGTGAATGAAGACAAAACGTCACCTAGAATCTTCTAATGAAAGTACGACTGCTCGATGTCCTCTAACATTCGACCAGTACCCACCAGGGTAACGTATAGTTTCAGACAAGACAAAAAACAAGTTAACTTTTTCGAGACGACCAAAGTTCCCCAAGACATCCGAACAGATAAATAGTTTCATTTAATGCAACTCCATTTTAACCAAACAAGCTTCTAAAGGCATAGAGAAAATCATTTGAGACACTTCTGACGTATTTGGAAACACTGGTCGCTTATTAAGTGCCGTTAGCCACTTATTAGGGGAAAAAACCGCAGTTTTGACCAAATCTTCGTTTTTTAGCCGTTTTTCGGCGAGTATGGGAATGGCGATAAAAGAGATATCCATCACTAAGAGCATATTTTTCTGCTGATTGGATGTTATTAAGCAGCTTTTTTGTCCCCCCGTCTCCCCTCCCCCAAATGCAAATGCACTAAAATTTGGACTTTTTCTTTTCTTTTTTTGACGAATCTATATCGATCTTTTTTCTTTTTCTAGTTTTCCCTTTTCCATCCACGTTATAGCAGCCAATTTTGTTGCTCACTATGTCGCCCTTCTTTCGCATGGAATTTTGGCTGGCTTTCTTTTCATGAAAGGAACAAATTCAATCTGCAATGTTTCCCAATATGTTAGTTTTTATGAGTAACTCTGTCGGGATTGTTCAAAATTTGCTAAATGAGGTACTAGTGGAAAGTTTTATCCTCGCTGATTTTGCTAATTACCATGATTCTTAATAGCTTAGAGGGTAAGCCAAATGGCTCTAGGAAAGATAACGTGCATGGGTGCATATGGACCAAAAACGACCAAAGCAGACGTCAAAAAGTTAATGTATCCTGTTTAGAAAAGAAGCCCAACCGGTGCGTCCCATACTACTAACAACACCATACGCAGTTAGAAACGCTCCAGCGCCTTATAGTGATAAGAGGAGAACAGCTTCGTAGACTAACTGTAAGTAACTTGACAACTCATTAAAACCACCGATGTCATAAAACGCTGGTGTCAAAAGATTTGTTTACTGAAATCATTTTAATATCTACTTTTTTCACGTCTTAAATATAAAATGAAATCACCTTCCATATTTATACTCTTGATACCAAGAAGGTTACTCAGGCTTGCAAAAATTATTCCAAAGTATATTAGACCTACATAACATTAGCTAACTTTAACAAAAGTGTTCTGTGTTTGAGCTGGCCCTTATTGATGTGATTATATACACCTCGCACATGATTGGTCAACAGTTTCGTATGAGGTCTATTATAGCTGTACAATAATCAGGGTCGAATACCCGAATAATAACAGCCAAAACAGAGAAAATTCTCCCAGATGTACTTTAACTACCCAAAAGTGGAATAAGTGAAATACATATTCACCGCGTAATTAAAATGATTAGTTATGATAACCATGAATCCAGGCCCATTCTGAAAACTTGATTAGGTGTAATACATTTATGATAGCTAGCTAGCCGGTTAGATAATCTTTTTATTCATTTGACAAAAGGGTCACTCAGCTGGTTTCAAACAATGCTTCCTTGAAATTTTTTTACAGGTAAAAACCTTTGGAGTAATTAATGCAAGCCTCATCAGTACCACAGCGATTGAGTGATGTTTCGCTCATAATTTACCAATGTAGTACTAAAAAAAACCTTCACTGCCGTACCAAATTAGTGTCAACGTGTCAGAATTGGAATTATATCCCATAAAATTCCAATTCTTTCCTCGGAGAGGTGAAAAGGGAATTTGGATGCCTAAAAAATTGGATATGAAAACTGCAAATTCCGTCATTGTTAACTACTTTTAATGACATGATTTAGTTTCCGCTTTTGTCAGGAACCTACGCCCTTTTGCAATGGAACTATGATCAATAAAAACTCTAATAGACGTTGCAAAATCCACAATGGTTTGTCCACTTAAATTTTCTCTCTCTAGGAAAAGAATTGGACTACAGTCAAATCTGTGTGGTGACCGCTATAAACAGGTCAACTTTGCAGAAAATATAAGGCAACCGAAAATTTTGGGATTAGTTGTCCAGTGATCGTAATATACAGGGTCACCACTATATACAGGGCAGTAATATACAGGTTGGACTGTATTGACTTTCTTTTAGACATTTTAAGGTCTCTTTGTTACAGCAGTGGAAGTTCTCTTAACTACTGATATACAACATGGCCCTTTATTCAGTAGCAAAACATAATACGTAGGCTTCACTATCTGGTTGTGTCATTGATGGCAGCATGACAGAACCTTAATCCAACTCTACAGTGGAAAGGTTTAAATTGAAATTTAGTCTTCTATTTCTTAAGCAGCTTTTTGGAAATTTTCGCTGTGTGAGACTTGTAAATAAGAACATTAAAGTGACAACCTTGAACATCAATGTTGCGCTACTGAAGTGAAGGCCAAATATGAACACAAAACAGTTGATCATTTTTCAAAGTTTCCCAGGTTTTGCAACCTGATAATTAAATAAATAGTCTGATTGTATCTCTATAAAACATGGTGTTCTTACTCATAATTATTATAAAGTACACTATACTACAACTCACCAAAATTATTCCAAAAATTGTGACCTATGTGATCAATAAATAGTACATAATTTATTTATTTATCTTACACCCTCCTCTTTGAGAATTAGTAGAACCTGTATTAAGATAACTCTCTTTGTGAGAAGTATGAAATGTGATCATTTTATTTTGTGAAAGAGTATTAGTTTTAAGGCTGATGACATGAGAAGTTCAGAAAAATCCAAACGACAACAAAGATGATTGCCCAAAATAAATATAAAAAAAATTATAACTGATATCATTTCATGTTACTTAGTAACACCATTACTCTAAAAGAGCAACAAACATGATGCATGGCTATGAAATGTGAATGTGTATTAAGAACAAGTTTTAAACCCACATTTTCTATTAAGTGACAGGTTCTTTGAGGAGACTTTGGTAATATATATAAAAACCAAGTATACGTATAAAACTTGTAAAATGTGCGACTGGGTTTTTGTGTCAAAAGTTCACGTATGAAATAATCTTCATCAAAGATTAACATCGCTGGTGTAAATTATAACAAATAAATAAGTAGTCCAAACTAGTTTCAGGGTGATATTGGGCCTTTGGAATAAGGAAGTTACCTTTTGGAATTTAAATAATAATATTGAAAATAATAACTGTACAACAATATCTACATGTTGAGCAAAATCGGGTCCTGTGGATTGCATTTTGCTCAGCCTCTGAGTTGTTTTTCATATTAAAATGCAGTAAAAATTTTATGTGTCATCAACACTAATGAATAGACCGGGTAGTATTTGACATTTTTCACCTGGAAAAACTTAACTCAGTTCACCTTTCGAGGACTCTATCCTCGGTAGAAAATAAATATCATTCTCAAATTACTTTGAAGTGAAGTGCATCTTGGTCTTGGTAATCCTTCCCCTCTTCTTTCGGAGGCAAGAGGAGTTCTTTTTTTTCCCTTCACTCTACCCCCCCTCCCCCCCAAAGAACGCCTGATTGAAGGTTACCATGACAGCTACTTAAGGTAAAGTATGTTGAATAATTTTTTTGTGAATTTTCTTCTATACATGTAAAATTATAATCTGCAAAAAAAAAGTAAAACTAACAATCAGAAAGAAATTGAATTCATTAAAAGAGCAGGGCAGTTACTGTCAGATCATGGTATAAAGATGTCTATAAATTGTCAATGGGAGTTCTACCTATTGAACAGTAATCCAGTGTTAACCACAAGGAAGACATATGCATTGTCATGGTAACTAACCATAAATTTTTACTTATCATCTTTATGTTTAGAAAATATTTCTCAAGAACATTCCTAAACTCTGATACCTTCATTCTGGAGTAAGATTTTGTGGAACACTGTGGTAGCTGTGCCAACCCAATAGTGATTACTTGTAGTTCTATCGTGCAAACCTGAGATACCATCTCACAGACTGCAGAATATATCTCTTTGCACCTACTTTCTTTTACGGTCAACTCTCTCGTAATGGACCACTCTATAAGACAGACACCTCCCTCAAATGGTCACCTAGAGATGGTCACTGCATTTTACAGTCATTTTCTTTGACTCTATAACAGGCAGATGATACTTTCCTTGACAGACCAGTGGCGGAACCAGTGGTGGACCAGGGGAGGGGCCCCCCTTATTTTTAGACTAAATGAAAAAATTTTTTTGGAGACTGTCCCCCCCCCACTTTTCTAAGGGTCTGAATGACCGCCCCCCTCCCTTATCTCAAGGTTCGCATCCAGCACTGCAGACACTAAGTGCCTGACCCAACAGTGTTCATCTTAGATGAAACTGGCAGATTAGTATAGGATTCTGAGAATAACCCACCTACCCCTACCCTAAACCAATGTCAAGAGCAACATCTCACTTAGGGGAAAATGTTGGTTTAGGGGAGGGGTAGATGCACTCCTCTGTTTAACTCATATACAACTTTAAGTAGTAATTATTCTCCGTATATATCTAAGTTGCCATGAGTTTGGTAACAAAATATGGTTTGGATTGATTTGTTCAGGCTACAAGAGATACAACTAACACACAACTCAGATAAATTCACTGCATCGTACCTGAACTCTACAGCTCTGGACACTTGATGATATCCTCTTGCAACAACAATGAGATGACAAGAAAAATAACATAGAACAGGAACATAATTCCACCAAGTAGCCTGGACATCTTCCATTTGTTAACAGCAATCGTGATAACTACTGCAATTAACATTATGAAAAGCAAGAAGACAGAACAAAAGAGCCCAGAGCTACTGACAGTCACAGCGGCACCAAGATCTATTGCACTGCGAATCAACCATGGGAGAGGCAGCCTGCAAAGAACAAGATTACTTTTATCAATAATTGTTTATATGATTGTGCACTTGGTGCAAAGAAACCAGCCGATAATAATATGTAATGATGATGATGATGAACATGATCTTGACAATTATGACGCAGAATAAGATAAAGGTTATGGTGATGACCATGATAGTGATGGTGATGACAATGATTGATGATGGTGATAATGATCATGATGGTACGAAGTGAATGTTATCATAGAAGATGATGATCACTGAAGTCTTTTTCATTTGCACTGAAATAAATAAATACCATATTATTTGTTTTTTTTCCTTTCAGAAAGTTGTCAGTAGTGCAGACACTGGGGTGATGGGTGGAAAGGAGAAGGTCTTTCACTGAACATTCAAGGCATAATTTACTTATGGCAGATTTAGACAAAGAATACTCTTGCTCATAATTGCTACAACACGTGCTGCTTGAGGCCCTGACAAATCTTGCTTAAATACACCGACATGCAACTACTGCAGATGGTGTCATTCCTTGTAGTTTTTAGGTACATGTACATGAAACTCAGCAGCCAGTTGAGTCAGATTTGACTCAATCAGGTTGTTAAGCATAAGCATGCAACATTATTTTCAGCCTTTCGAAAAGAAGAGTCATTAGTTACGCACCCTATTGTTACATCAAACATGTTGCTTCCAATTGAACTGGACACTGCCATGTCACCAAAGCCTTTCCTGGCCACAAGAACGCTAGTAATGAGATCTGGAATGCTAGTCCCAGCGGCAAGGAAAGTAAGACCCATGACCTACAAAAAGATGTATATAAAAATCAAATTATGACTCCACAACACAAAAGTAACAGGCCATTTCTGAGTTCCCACAAGCCTCTGTTTCAAATCTAGGCAAAGTGCAAAGCCATTGACATGAAAATGATTTTTATTCTCGTACAAATGAAACTTATTCTCACCAGAAAGGTTCTGCACTTAGCCTCGTTTTCAAGGTGAGAGTTTTTGGAACTTGGAAATGGCCTAAAAGCTACTTTGAGGAGGGAGGTGATGCAAATTAACAAGGTTAATATACTCCTACACCAGTAAGAAGTCAGGAATTGGCTCTAAAACTGGTGGTCTGAGGGCCTTTTAAATGAAACCTGTTCAGCAGTACTTTTACAAGTGACTGTTTCTTATTCCCTTATTTAATACAAATATGCAATTTTAAATAGACAGTGTTAACGGCATGTTTTGCTTACCTCTGTAGATATACCAAGAGTGTAACCAACCTCAGTGGCAAACCAAACCATTAAATATGAAAAACCCACTATCCATAACATTGAACAAATAAATGTCCAAGGATACCAGGGTCTCTTTTCCTAGAAAAGACAGTTAAGGATGATTAAGTTTAACGCATTGTTCTGACTTCTAAATGTCTTCGTTTTTGGTCTGTGACAACAGGGGCATGGCTGATAAAAGCCATCCAAAATCTCCTGCCGGGCCCATACTCTTTTGGGCTCTTCAAATTCCACGATCTTCCAGGCCCTTTCAATGACCTTTTCAAATTTTCTATGACCTTAGGTTTAGCTGTCAGTGGTTTTAGGGTATCTTTCACACCCTTTTTAAAGGCCTGCAAGAAGACACATTTTTTTGTCTTCACAGATGCATCAAAAAACGCCCCAGGTGATTTTTGATATTTTCCTAAATAATAAATAAAAACCCTGTATCTCCTAGTGAAACAAAAAGAAAATATTTAGTGACCAGCGGCGGATCTAGGGGGAGGGTGCAGGGGGTGCGCACCCCCACCCCTGAGAGGACCTGTGGTTTTCTTATACAACTAGTATTCTGCAAAAAAACTATGTGGTTTATTGGTGTTGAAGTAGAGCGAGAGACGAGTGCACCCCCTCCTAAAAAAAATCCTGGATCTGCCCCTGGTGACCAAGCAGAACTTTTAATAACTATAAACCTTCTAAAAAGTAATAACAAGACTTGGAAATAAGGTAGTAATAATAATTATTATTATTCCTGCTCATGTGACTTACAGGTCTTTTGATGTCCTGTGCTGTGTAATACATGCAAAACATTATAGGTGCCCTGATTAAGTAAGCAAGTCTGTCTTTCCATCCAGAAGGCCAACTCAAGTCAATAGGCTCACTGTCATCATCCACCTTCAAACAAAAATATATATTAATATATAAAATATGTTACAGGTCAAAATTAAATTCCGGTTAAATAAAATGCTTTGACCTATTACTAGCTCTAATTCATGGCTTTGAAAAGGGCTGGAGGCAAAGAACCAGCCAGTTGGCTGAAAAGATTAACCAGAATTTTTTTCAAATTTCACCTGTAACATAGTGACTTAAAACTTTTCCTTTGCATATATTGGCTACTTTTCAGTGATGTTATCTTCAAAAGAATGATTTTACTCAGAACAAATTTGTTGATCTAATGTATCAGTTAACCATAAATACAGTATTTATTCGATTAACCGCCCTGGGCGCTTATTTGAGGCTGGGTGTTTCTTAAATTTTCACTATTCACAGCAAGTGTAGTATGTTTGTTTTGCAACAAAACAATACATGGTAATTACAAAAATCAAAGATGTAACAAAGCAAGGTTTCTGTAAAATACTCTGAAGAAATCTCCGTCTTCGGGAGGGTCTCTTATTATCTCTTATTTGAGTTTGTGTGGGAGGGAGTGGGGTGGGGGTGGGTGCTTATCAACTTTTTCTGCCTTTAGGATGGGCGCTTATTCAAGGTGGGCACTAATTCGAAGTTGGACGCTTATTTGAATAAATACGGTAACCAAAATTAAAGGGGCTCCTGTAATAACCCTCCAAGTGACTGCTGATAATAATTATTGTAAACTGCTATATTCTCCTACCAATTTGCATAATGATTACTTGGGATCTAGTCACTCAGGGCATTTAATTCCACATACCCCTTTATTAAGTTTTTGTACTTACACAAGCTTCTCTCGCATCCTCAATTTCTACTAACTGATGATTTGAAGAATGTTGTAACACCGTAGATTGAGAGTCGCGTGACTCCGCAGAAGTACTATAACCATTATTACTTTGTTCCACCATTCCTGGCACAGGTGATTGACTTGGTCTGTTAACCATATTTTCACTAGAAAATATGTGCACATGAGGCAGTTCTCCATTTACTACACTAGATTTTCTAGACGTACTGTCTCCTTCTTGAGTATACAAATCTGTCTTTGAGGTTTCATTGTCAGTACTCAAGTTACCGTTTTTCTGAATTGATGAAATGGAAGCGTCATTCCCTGCAGAACTATTTATTACTGATAAATGAAACTGTTGGTGGTGTTCATCAGTTGCACCATTGTTAACCACACTCTGGCTTCCAGCTGCTGAGTCTGTTTCCATCCCAACTTTAACATTAAGGCATTTCAATCTTTTTAACCTGTTCACTTTCACTGCAATAGATGCTGTTGACCAAAAAAGAAAGAATTACGGTTACAAAAGGAATTTTTAGCCTGCATTTCTGCAGTACAAATGTAACATTTAACAAATTTTATCCATATATGCAAACTCTCTCAAAATATCCTGGAGTCCCCTGGATATGGCACAAATCCCCCTGTCTCCTGTACAGGTCACCAAATCTCCTGGGTAAAATTGAATTTTGAACTTTTCTGAGCTCTCATTTCATATCAGACCTTTTTAGCTTGTATGTTTTGTTTTCCCAACTCAGACCACGAGATGTTCCCTAGGAAATTTGCCTTTCATCTTTACTAAAATTATGCATACATAGGCACATGGATGCACATGCATAAAGGTGTAAGAAAAAGTTATCTGGGGTACCATCACATGGTCTGACATGTGAAAACAAAACTATTACAAGCTAAATTTGTTTCATTATTCTTTCAATCATAGGAGTTTCTCAGGCATTTTTTCATGTATTTCATCACTGACATCACTTATGGTCTGTTCTTCATGTACGACTACGTGCAATGTTCAGGGAGGTTGATGTTGGGGGATTGTGCAAGAGCGACAGTCTCCAGATTAAATATCTCCAGAGATTGACATCTCTGTGTATCTACACTATCTTGATACAAACTTTCAAGCAAAGCCACTCTGGGCTAGAAAAGGTTAGTCCCAATGAAATTATGTTTGTGGGGGGAAAATTAGGTTCTGATATGGCACAAAGAATGTGTAGGAGACTACAAAGCAATAAAATAAGCCTTCAAGAGATACTGTCTTTTGAGCTGTCAGCTGGGATAAGCTATGGCCATATACTCACCCTCTCCTAAAGGATCCATGCTGTGAATTACAAGTTGGAGTACTCCATGACGGAAGCAGGGAAGGCCATTGTTTGCTTTGGATGAAGTACAAAGACTTTCCACTGCTTTCTGTTAAGTTTAAAAGAAAGCAAGGATTTTAGGGTAAGAAACATTACTGATAACACTTGCAATCAAAACACATTTTATAAGCAGTAGTCTTGCACTAGTGGTTGCTAATTGATTCTTAAGCATTAACAAGTCCTTTTAATGTCCCACATGGGTAATCATGAATGACCTGTAAATGACTAGTGAACTTGTATGCATTAATTTAGAAACATGAAATATATTATGTAATACAGTCAAACCTGTATAAAGAAGCCCTGTACATTACAGTCACTGGACAACTTCTCAAAATTTTCAGTTGCCTTATATTTTCTGCAAAGTTGATCATGACCTGTATACAGTAGTCACCCTGTCTATAACAGTCACCTTGCCTTTTCCCAAGGGTGACTTTTAAACACAGGTTTGACTGGACATAAAAGAACAAGGGCAAAAAGCTAAAGGAAAAACACAAACCCTCTAGAATGATGGCCATAGGGTGCAATTTGCTATATAACTGTTAGAAAACCTTTTTACAATTAAACATTTTTATAGAATTGACTCAACAACAATATTAACCCAAAAATAGACACCAAATATTACCAAGCCTAAAACCAATATCTACAGAAACTTTGTTTTTAATGATACCCGTCAACTAAAAATTAATTCACCAACAGTGGTATAGTAATTTTGACACCTAAATTAGCACCTCTTGAATGTGCTATTAATGTCTTCAGGAAGAATACATATTAGGAGCAGAGAAGTTAACACCAGGAAATATCCCTGGCACATATAAGAATATTTCTAAATTAGACTTCAGATAATACTGGCAAAAAGGAAGAATTAAAACATTCAAAATCCATCAGAATCCAAAAAGGATAGTCCTATTAACATGAAATTCAACAGTCAAGAATAACCAGACGATAATAAATTGCTAGGCTAAAAATTAACTCCAGTATTTGGTGGCCAGTCAGGCCAGTTGTAGCCTGCGGGAAGCAGATGCTTTTCTGGGCTCTTGCTTCACCTGCCGAGAAAATATATTTTTTCTATTTTCTCAGTGGGTGAAACAAGAGCCGAAAAAGCATCTGCTCCCCGCAGGTTAGGCCAGTTGTGGCCCAGACGAAAATTAAGTGACCCAAGATCTTCAAGCTGCTGTTGACGCAACATGACTTGGAAAATGGAGCAAAACTAGGTAGCTCAAGTCTAGGGTCACTTAGCCAAATTTATGTAGAAATGGAGTATTTGGTATGGATTAATCTTATGCTACTTACAAGCCCTTTGGCATTTTTAACTTTTGAAATAAAGATTCTCTTAATTTAGAATGACCGAAAAAAGGTAGTCCAGTATTAAAGAAGTTGAAGTTGATTCTTATACTGCATATATTTTATACTGCATACACTACAATACCTCACTTCTTCCTATAATATTTGAGGGTGATCAAACCTCAACTTTTAGTTCCCCCAGCCTGTACTTAAGGTCACATTGGAGGGTGACTGTGAGACCACCTATTATTAGCCCTATAGATGATTACCTACATTCTGTGACAAAAAGAGACACAAAACAGTAAGAATTGCAATCAACCTCCCTTAAGCTATCTTTTTATATGCCCTAGACGAAAAAGACTATTTGAGACATTAGTTTCACCAACCCAAAAACAAGACAATTCTTATTCACTGCCCTTGTACCTGTAGTTCAATAAATTTGCCTTCACTAAAGGTTGATTCAACATGCAAAGCACGTAAGTAAACTTGGAAACTCACTTGCAGCAGGAAGAAAACATCTCAATGCATAAATTCCTGTATAATCTCTGAACAATATTATTTCCTTTTCACAGTGACAAAAAACTCTTATGCAAGATAAAGAACCACTTAATATTCCCAGAGAAAGCTATCCAAACTTGCTTTTTGGAGGTTACATAGAACATTTGAATAATCATGAAATGAATCTTGTCCACGCTATCATTTATATCATAATCTTTCTAAGCTGACTCATAATAAGCTTATATAGCAAATGAAACAAACTGGGGGCACATACGGAATATATAATTTTTCAGCCCCACTTGTTTTCTCGCCGTCTTTTAGAGCCGTTTGTTCTATGCAAAAGGAAATTTAATTAGTAACCTTTATACGCCATTCTGTTTGGAATTCTGACCTGATTAATTCGAGGAGGATTACATAAAATCTGCACTAGTGTTCCCACAGATTACTGAATCACTTTTACTCACGCATACACTGAAATCTGATAGGAGGGTTAAGACAAATTAACCTAAGTGAGATTTAAAGCGATTACAACTTTGTACTTCAACTTAATCTAGCTCGTTCCCTATACTTCAAGCACACACTTCTGAAGACATTGGATTACAACATGCATCCTCTTGTCTAATTAGCAAGTTCTACCTGTTTACTATTGACATCTCGCCCAACAATACAAAGTCACTATTTACATGGAAAAGTTCAATATCTGGCTCAATGTATTAACGAGTGGCCAAAACCTTTTCATCCCCTTCAAGAAGAATTTGAGAAAGAACAAATATATGCGGACGTCGTGAAGACGTTTTAAACATAAACAAACCCCGTAAAATTATGTCGCGATTAAAACTGGGCAAAATTATAAAATCAAGGTGAATTAACACATTTCCATCGGTGTTAGTAACATAATTGTTTTTTTCCGAGTGAAAACGATATGTACAATTTGTTCTTACAAACTTCTTTTAGCGTGTACGTATTTTTGAACAATTTGTATTCATCTTTTGTTATTCAAAATTGCCTGTCAAAGAGGCCGAAGAGTAGATTTCTCTTTCATTTACATAAAAGAAAATTATATTTCGAGTTAACTGCTTTAACCAAAACAAAACAGTCTAAAATTGGTCACTCACAGCTTGAAAATAGAGAACCACTACAATTTGTGGAACGATAACTAGTACTTAAATAGAAGTTCGTCCATTTAAAGTCACAAACATTTAATTAATATTCTGAACTATATCTCCAAAAAAATCTAACTTGTTTGAGTACCTGATAACTAATGTCGAATAGTTCAACATACGACATTCCGCGATGCTACGATGTCTTATAAACCTGGATTTGAACAACTTTGGGAACTATAATACCAGTTTCCTGTTTAGGGATTTGCGTTGAAGGAGGTTAAATAGTACCATCAATTGACACTAATAAAGGGGAATTAAACAACGGACAATTTTTCATTTCCTTGTGTGAGTCAAGACTAGCAATACATACCACATGAAATATAAAATTACTTACCTCAAGATGAGCATCTTCGTTGCCTTTATGTCTTCCTTTCGAGTGTATTGCGCTCACTTTGTTAGATTTAAGCATACGTTTAACCCATCTCTCAACGTTGTGGTTGTACTTCATAAACGTAACGTATATAATATATGTGAGGATTAATACGAGCGATTCCCACCACTCAATAGCACTATCTACAAAGAATCCAATAAGAATTATCAGAGCCGCGCTGTAGAACATACAGTCGCGAAATAAAGGCCACCAAGTTAGATGCAAGACCTCCTTCGAGAACACGGCGCACATGCCAATGACAAACAAAACATTGAACACAGCAGAACCCACTATCGTTCCAAATCCGACGTTCGAATCGGGAGCCGCAAATACCCCAATAAACGAAGTACAAAGCTCGGGCATACTTCCACCAGCAGCCATAAAAGTAGCACCAGCCACATCTTCTGAAATGTTTAGTTTCTCCGTGATTATGACAAGCGCAGGAATGAAGAATTCGTCGCACGCAATCGACAGCGCTAAAAACATATAACACATCCCTACGATGTACAAAATTACAGCACCTTGGCGCATCTGCTTTAAAGTAAAATGATTATTCGGGTATTCACCCTTTTTCCTAGAATCCTCAGCCAGCAAAGTTCGATGTCTGAATAAACTTTCGTCGCTGCTTAACGAATGCGACGTGTCGTCAATGTCCAGAACAAGAACATGCAGCACGAGACTGCACAACAACACGGATGTCAACAAGAAAACATAAGGATTGTTCGTTCGCCGGCGGAGCCGTTGCCACAGAACTGACCGTTCAAACTTCACCACCATGTTTCGTTGTTACAATAACGAAACGAGCACCGAAAACAAATTTATCGAGTGCTGACTTTGCTATCCGTTTGAAGACTGCGCGAGTGTGCCGATTTCATTCAGTTTCTCTGAAGAAGGCAAGAGGATGTTGTATCAACTCGCTAATTTCCAGTTTCGTCGCCGCTTCACTTCTACACGTACAAAACATATTATCTTGGAGCGAGTGATATAATGATAGCTGCTATGGGCAATCTACAAATGGGATATATTCCTTGTCGAGAGCTCATCGCTCGATACACACTCCAATTAATAGTGTTCAATCCGCTTTGGACGATCGTTGTCAAGTAGCCAAAGTTATGTTAAACAGTACTTGCTTCACCGGCGAAGAAACTCTCTGCAGAGAGACAAAAAGGAAGAAATGAATCCCCAAGGAAGAGTATGCCTGGGTTACCGCTATTTTTGTTCCATGTTTGCGGTATCATTCCATCTTCACCGGGAAAAATATATATCTGGTATGAAAGCTTAGCAACTCTGAATTGTCCCAGGAGGCAACGCGGTAGGTGGCTATTATCCAGGATAACAAAGAACTCCTATGTAAATTGCAAAGACGATGTATGTACAAAACCGTAATGTTGCAATCTTAATACAGTTTCGCTTCAATAACAAATTTATTTTATTTTTAATTTAATTTATTTTTTTTGGAAATGCTTGACCTTGTGTAAATCGAAAGCCTACGAGAGGTTCTGGCCAAAGTTCAAAACACTAGCGGGGCTTAGTTGTGCAAAAAAATAAATAAATAGATAAAAACGTTTGCCAGCAAAAAGAAGGAGAGGGAAGTCTGAATGCAAAGCTATGAGAATGTATATAAACTAGAAATACATGTATCGCAGAACATTCTCACATATCTGCACAGTCATTGCTTTTTTATTTGTTGGAGTCTACTAGAGATTGCTAACTCAGACTAGTGTATCAACAATCCCGCATTACTGGTTCTTGATGGTAGCCCAACTCTTTGTGATCTTTACGTCCACAGACACATGGTTGGGAACTTCCAGATTTCTGTTTACATCGTTTAAGCTCTTAGCTAGATAAGTAACATCATAACTGTGACCATTCAACTACGGCCAGGGGCCCAGCGATCCGCCAAGAGAGTCAGAGGCAGAAGAGGGTACAGTAGTCCCGTAACTTCCAGCCCCACCGTATTTTTGGGCCAAAAAGAGGCCCGCAGGGCAGACAAAAATAATGAAATTTCACCTGAACGTCTGCGTCTTTTTATTTAACATATATTTTTTGAAACAAAAGAGAAAAAACAAGCCGCCATCGCACTTCCTTCGCCAAAAATTTCTGCAGCTTTTATTTTAGACTGAGAAAGTTTCTAGGTATCATTTTTTAAGCAAGATGGCCACACAAACTGTCAGTAACTAGGGTGACATAGACTTGATCGAAACCGCTTATTCAGAAACCACGGACTATTCGTGGCTATACGGGTACATTTTCATTTTGTGCAGATTAAACCAAATTGACGAAGAATTACCTCAACGTTCTACTGGGAACAATAATTTACTTAAAAGGGCAGGAACTGCAAACCTTTCTACATCATGATAATTTGCAAGTTAGTTGTCTAGGTAGTTAGTTATCTTTTTTGCTATATAGAATTAACTTTTTATTATAATTATTTATTAATGTAGTTGGCTCGAAGATATTAGCACTTGAGTGCTACACTGTAAATTCGAGGGTAAATAAAGTTTATTGATTGATTGATTGATTGAACGTGTTCACTCAACTGCTATATGGGAAGACAGATTTCTGACAGGTGTAATAACTCAGATCAAAACTTCGGCAGTCAGTCAGGGTAGAAGGATAAATATACTCTTTGTTTTCAGGCAGACGTTTTATCGTCAGGTATCTCATTTCCGTCCTCTGCTTAGGCTTATCCAGGTTTTTGACCTGAATAAAGGAGCATGTTGTACAGTTTGCGAGACATAACCTATTTTACCTGGTGGATTTGCTCATTCACAAATCGTTATCATAGTTCAGTTGAGCCTTTTTTTTTCCAGAAAAAATCGATAAGTTCCTTCTTTGTATTTAGAGATAAAAAACAAAATTTACCGCGTACACAGATGCAAACCAAAACAACTTTCTCGTTTAGCTCTAAAAGAATTGATCGCAGCTGTTTATAATTCGGGCTTCGGCTTCATCATGCGGAACTGTACTCGACATCAGCCTGGAGTTGCCTGGAGTATATTTTCAGGCATCGGGTCAAGTATGACTGAAAAACTTTTTTATCAGTGCCTCTGTAGTTTTTTTTGGCCTTCAAGTGCCAAAATCATCACCAAGTTTTTTAGAAAAACGCTTTCTTTAGTGATTCGTATTTGTTCCAAAGCCCCGAAGTTGCCAGCGCCGATTTTTCCTGAGGGAGGGGGACGTCTGAACACAGGCACCCGAGGCGAGCGGGCGGGACGCTCGGACCACGTGACCTGAAACGCTTTGGCCGCGCGGAATAATGAAGCCTAGGGAACAACCGGGAGACATCGAACCTACGTAGAAACGCTAATCAATTCCTTGCAGCTGCTTCCTTTCAAAAGTCTTAGAAAAGAATCAACTCAGTTGATTGAACTTAGTGGAAGGCACAATACCAGCAAAACGCAAACTGAATATTGAATGAGCACCAACTAAGCCGATATTCTTCTCAGGCATCGTACAAACTTTGGAATAATCATGCAATCATTGATCAGTATCATAATTGTACCCAATCTAAGTTCTGATAAGATACTCTTGCACCAAGAGTGGATGTAAACCAGTTATGTAGCTGCATTGATAATGTTTCATTTTAGTCTATATTGAGTTGATTGTTGATGAATAATAAAGCGCTTGCTTAGTTATCAGCTGGATTGCTGGCGATTTAGCAGTGCTCAGTTAATCAGTCTTTGGATCTTAGAACTCTGCTATTAACCCCATTCTTTCGGAGCCTCTGGAACCTTTCAGTGACGTCATGCTTTAAACATCATTGTTAGGGACGTACTGAACGACCAGCTGCTTACGTGCTTACCGAGCTAAATTACTACTCAAGAAATAAAACACCTCATACTACTACATGAGAAATTTCTGCAATTCGATTGGCTTAGAGAAGTGATATTTCAGCTTAATTTGAAATACCTACATGTGAAAATTACAAACCTTTTGCGGGTAGTAGTATAAACAAATAATAGCACTATGATGATTTGTAGTGATATTTGGCATAAATACCACCCGTGATATTTCAAAATTGTCTCCAATTTCACTCGCCTAACTGTTCGTGAAATTACGTATAACAATTTCGAAATATCACTCGCGGTATTTATGCTAAATATCACTACAAATCATGCTATTACACGGAGGCACTAGTATATGACAAGCTGGCATGATATCAAATATCAGTGTAAGCAAAAGCATTTTGAGTTTAGTTAAACGGAATTATCGGGTGTTCCAATGCAAAATATTTTTTTCTAGAATATTGTGAGTTTAAAAACTGCCGATTCATGCTAGTATTAATATTGCTGTGGTTTTCAGTTTTCACCTGAGCAAAGCGGAAAATGTTCAAACCAAGATAAAACCTACACAAGACGAAATTATAGTAAAAAAATGTTTTTAGTTTAAAGAGAGATTTGAAAAGAAAAGCTATCCACTAACAGCTTTTAGATAAAGACATTCAAGTAGTTCCATTTCATGAACAGTATGACTTCAGAGGACAAAATGAGTTTGACTGAAATTTGTCATGAATGTTAGCCAAGTAAAATTTAAGAAGAATACTATTATTTCTGAGGGAGAACCAAATATAGTCAATGACGGTGAAAATTATAACATCGCAGCATTTATTCAAAAGCACTGAATTGAGTAACAGCTATATAGATTATATTCCGGGATAAATTTGTGAATTAGCAGCTGCAGGTGGCGGCGAAAGTGTTCACCAATTCATATTTGACGAATTCAAATCTCTCCAGGTGGCTTGTCGAGAAATATCTGGAGAGATTCTTGTAACAAGCTGTTATAGTTCTTTGTATACGAATAAACACATTCGACAGAGGGGAGGAATAAAGCCTTCTAGTAACCAAGGAAACGTTCCACTACTAGCGGAATAATCATCATCAGAATCATTTTCAGTATTAAAAAACATGTACAGGTTTACTTAAGAATACATTGCCAGGAGTAACTGGCACTTTTCAAAGGAATAGTATGAACAATAGTTAGCAGGCATAACCGCGTGAAGTTTCAGTGGACGGGCATCAACCAAACCACAGAAAAGAGAACGTTATTGCAGAAAAACTTGACAGTAAAGAGTGACAATTCGCTATTTGGGTATTATAGTAAAGAGACTGACGTTTTGTTAACACTTGATAAAAAAACAAATCTTGAATATTATCAAACAAAAAAGTAGAGGGTTAAAATTAGCAATAACAGAATGTGAACCAAAATGTTATTTCCACGGGATCACAATAACGCGAAAAATATCCGACCAACTGTACGCAAGTGATAGAACCTGTCTGCAAAATCAAATTGTGCCGAATGAGAGTACGCAAAACATAATTCAAATCTTTTAAAAAGTTTCGTCGCTAATAAGCTGGTGTAAAATGCTTTATTCAGTGTCATTCGACTTTTAAAGTTGCGGCATTTTAACCATGACAATTAAATTTCTAGCTTTCTTAAACAACGGTGAATAGTATTTACACTTCTTCTCTGCTATCTTTTTCCTTATGTAAAACTCAGGCTATTGCTGATTTTTATGTTATGATTCCTTAAGAGGAAATTCAAATTACATTTTTTAGAGTAAGTCCTTTTGTATGTGCACGTACACCGAGGAGTGAACTTGAATTTTGCATTTAATTTATCTTTCAGTCTTTCAATCTCTATTCTAGTTATCTGGTCATTTGCGCGGAAGAGTTTCGTTGCAAATATTAAAAATTTTCTTCTTATAAAAGTACGTACTGCTCAATACTTCTTCTTGAAAGCATTATTCAATTTCCGTATGACGGCGCGCAAAGCTCCCCGAAAACATGATTTACTAATGTTTAATAAAAAGAAAGTAAACATTATGTATTTCAGGTAAGTTTGAAAGGTGAGTTTCTATTTGATAGAATTTCACCTAGAAAAAGGTGTTTAGGTCCAAATAAAATGCCTCACAACCGCGAAAATATCAAACTTTATGTTATATCACAACCGTGTAGGTCACACGCAGGTAACAATTCGAAACATATTTTGTTTTCAGTTTTCTGTTCACTTATTGTTCCGTCAACATCGATATAACTCGTGGTCTGCAAAGTTTTAAACTCTGGTAATAGAAAGAGGTTAACAGTGAAAATTTTGAACGGGTCGGATTGCCACTGTTCCATATGGCAACTGAAAAATTTATGTGGGATTTAAGACTGAGGATTTGTTTGCGCATTTCGTGAAAGGAAATTTTCCATCTCTCAGACCTCATCGCTGGGAGAATACTTTTGTGGTACACTTCAAAAACGGAAAGCTACCATAAAATATCATTTACCCGCGCCAACAAAGAAGGA